TTTCCCCTTTAAAAACGGTATTCCTTCCCTCCCCCCACTGTCATCTAAAGGAAGGAAGGAAAGCTCAAAGAAAATAAGGCACTTTACCTGCAAAGAGCTGCCTCCTGTATTGCAGCCTCGGTCTCCCACCCATTGGTGACTGCTCTGTGCCTCTGCACACCGAGCACCCAGCAAGGTTTGCTTCCTGCCTTCCCCATTCAGTTGCTCTCTCCTGGCTGCCCAGCGGCACATCTAAAGGATGCTGAGGCAGTGGGAGCCCACCTGGCTGCCCTGCACCCCAGTCCCCTTTCCACCCCACAGCAAGATGCTCTGCTTCTATCCTGGTTTTGACCTTTTGTTGGGTTTTTTTGCAGACCTCCCCCAGGCTGCTGACCCTGCCTTTACCCAGCAACTGGGGATGGGGTGGCAAAACCCCCCTGGAGGTTGGGAGGAGACACAGGAGCTGCTTGGCCCCCAGTCCTGAGCGAGTGGATGTGATCTGTGGCAGAGCTTTCTGTGGGCTGTATTTAAGGGGGAGATAATTGAAGCTCTTGGGATGCTGTTATATTGGAGAAATGTTTTTCACGTTCATGACTGGAGGAGAGAGGTGCAGTTCAGACACCCTGCTGTCAGATGCCACCACAGTGATGGAAGCCATGTGGTTGGTAGCACCAGGTCCCTCTTGAAACACATTTCTGCTTTCTATGCTTTATAAATAAGAAAGTTCCTTCTGTAAAGGCAAAGAACGTTTCCTTTGTGTTACTGCATCCCCATGTAAGGGGCCAGCAGGACTGTGCTGCAGTGAGCCCCCAGGTGATGACCCCATGGGCAGATGGTGCTGGGGGGCACTGACTGACCTCTGGGGTCTGTGAGAACCAGCAGTGCAGCCCTAGGACACAGCCCTAGAAACAAAAGCGGGGAGAAAACACCACCTCTGGGGGCCAGGAAACCGAAAGTGAGATGCTGGGGGTTAGAGAAATGTCTGCTCCCTTCCATGGACAGGGATGGAGATGGGCACTGCCATACGGCCACAGGGAGCTGCCAGCAGGACATCCATCCCAGCTCCTTCTGCCATCTGTGTTTTTCATTGTTGAAGTCCAAGGAATGCGTGGCAATGTGATCACCCAGCTGAGCCTGGGTGTGCTTATATTTGCATAGCCTTGCTCAGTAGGTTGGGCCAGCTGAATAGAAATACTTGGGACAGCTGTAAGTGATTAGGAGACTAAGGCTAATCAGGTATGAAGTGTTATCACCTCTTGTTTGCGGGCCTCTGCTTGGAGCTCGTTAGTTTGCAATCAGCAGCAGCATTTGCTCTGACTTTCCTTATTAACCTCGCTTGTTTCTGGGCTGGCAGCAGTGCTTCTGGAGGGGGGGGAGGAGGGGATGTTGGGCCCATTCTGCAGTTTCACCATAACTGCTGCTCACGGATCACTTCTGTTCCCTTTATGGCTGTTTGGAAGGTTGCACTTCACCCACAGCGGGGCCTGACAGCCCAGCAGGGCTCTCCCACATCACTGCAGGAGTTGTGCTCCCCAGAGCAGCTCCTCACCCCGCAGCACAGGGAATGCCCTAAAAACCCCACGAGCTGGAAGCACCAAAGTGATGCCGTGGGCACTGCAGCCCCAGGCTTCACCTGCATCTCCTTAGTTTGGAAGCACATTACCCACAAATCAATGCTTTTTACACCATTCTCTTGTGATGCTCATTCCTACGAGTTACCAACACCTTCCATCCTCCTGAGAAGCGTAAAGCCGGAGCCATCTCACAGCACTGCACTGTAACAGTGACTCTTGGCACCAATTCCCCACATGCTGCCTGCAGCCAGCACAGGGCCTGGCCTCGCCAGCCCCACCTTCTCCCTCTATTTAACGCTGTAAAACATTTGCAGGATGATGTGGTTTGTATGAAATACAAAATAAAACGGTATTGTTGGTTTCCTGCCTCACCCTAATTGCTTTCCCTTTGATCCTCAGGTTTCTGTCACCAACACGTGTGTGTGCTGGAGATCCCATTGAGCACACGGTCACCTCTTGATGCTGTTTTGTGCTCTGCAGCACATTGTGTGTCTCCAGCTGTGCTGCTGCTGTGTTGTGCTCTAAACACAATCCTGTGGCATAAACACAGCACAAAGAGGGTTTTCTTACCCCAAATCCCCTCGTTCCTGCTCCACCAGCCTTAAGGAAACATAAGAGCTGCACCTCTCTAATGACACATCATGCGTCCAGTTGTGTCCAAAGTTTGCTGTGGGGGGTGTTGGGTTTGCATTTTCATAGAACCATAGAATGGCCTGGGTGGAAAAGGACCACAATGCTCATCTCGTTCCAACCCCCTGCTATGTGCAAGGTCACAGACCAGGCTGCCCAGAGCCACATCCAGCCTGGCCTTGAATGCCTGCAGGGATGGGGCATCCACAACCTCCTTGGGCAACCTGTTCCAGTGCCTCCCCACCCTCTGAGTGAGTGAGCCCCTTTGGTGCATGGCAGCGATGCCCAGCGCAGTGCTGTCGGTGCTGGGGCAGATCTGCCTGCCCAGGGCTTGGTGTGGGCAGGAAGGAGAGTGGCCGTGGGAAGAGACATTCCCAAAAAGTTTTGTTATTGCTGGGAGCTGGCGAAAGTGTGCTGTCATTTCCAAGAAACAGAACAAGAATGTCTAACGGTTACGGATTAATTCTCATGAGCGCATTTAGCGCTTCCTGCACGCGTGTGTAATTAGGGAATTAAGGGCTCAGTGGGGCTGTTCGAACGTTCCAGGTGAATGCTGGGAGGGGAGGGAGGTTTGCTGGGTTTAGCAACGAGATAACAGAGGGCTGTTTGCTTATGGAGCCGAATTTCCATAGCGCCCATCGCTGCTCAGTTCAGTATGGGGGAAAGCGGAAAGTGATGCGAGTTGTTTTGTCTCCACAGATGATTGATCAAAAAGGTTTTATTTGGAAAATAAATTGTTATTTGAATGTGCCTTATATATTTTAAAAAGCCAAAGCTTCTGCGGATCTGTGCATGGTATGAAAACTCCCAGCATCTTTTCATGCAGTCCGGGTGTGTAACCCTTGCCTAATTAGTGCACAAATTCAAATAATGAATGTGCTTGCAGCTCTTCCTGCAGCCACTGCTTTTGTGTCTGCCCTGGAACACTTATGAAGGTCTCAGGTGGGGTTTTGCCCAGCAGCACTGGACCCCCAGCTCCCTTTTCCACTGCTGCCCAATGCTCCCGGTGCCCCACGCCCTGTGCTGGGCACTCCCTGTGCTCCTCCTTGCTATGGAAACACCGCCTGCTGAGATCAAACGGGACGATGAGTGCCATTTATTAACTCGATGAGGTGGGACGGGAGCCAAATTGGTTGAAATTCTAATTGTTTAACTTTTTCCATGTATCATCGGCGAAGTTTCCTACTTAGCCGGCGTGATTTCCACCGCCGCACCCCCTTTTTGTTCTGCTGCTTTTGTTTGGAGTTGTTTAACTTCGCCCTGGTCGCTGGCTGGGCGCCCCAGGGACCTGAACAAAGATCTCAGCTGTTCCATTTGCGCTGGGATGGAAATGCTGGTGCTGGAGGAGGGGAGGCAGTAGGAAAGAGGCACTGGAAAATGTGTTCCCTCTTCGCTTTCTCATGCGTGTCAGAGGCTATTTTAATGACTTTGGGGAAACAAATCTTCCCCACGCACACCGTAAAACAGACAGAGCTGCTCCTGGCGGTGCTGGAGCCGTCCGTCACGCAGGGAGCGCTGCTGGTGCCGCCCCGTGTTGCGGTGCGGTGCTCAGGGGCGCTTCAGGCTCTCGGGGTTCTGAATAAGAACATCTCCTCGCTTTAGGAGAACTCCCCATGCTCTTCGGTCCCAACCACCGGCGGCGGTGGGAGATGAGGTACGAGGGGTGCACGATGTGCGGGGCGGTGCGTGGGGCGCAAAGCAGCTCCGCTCCGTGCGCTGCCCCTCCCGCACCACCTAGTGATGGAAAGCGGAATATAACCAGGCTCGGGCAGGATCAGGGGAAAGACCTGCTATGAGAATTAGCAGCGCTGGGGTGTGGCTGCTGGGTTACAACAGCATTATGCAGCGGTGGAGCAGCAACCCGGCAAAGGTAGGAGCGGTTTTAAGCCGAAGCACTGCGTTGGAGTTGATGTCGCACCGGGTAGAATTGCTCAGTGAGTAGAGTTCCTCGGTGAGGGGTCGAGAGGCGTTGGGTGAGCCCTCCCTGTTCCCGTCGGTGTGTGTTCTATGGACTTGCCCAGCCGGCACACGATGCTGCGGGCAGGATCCCCGCTTCCAGCAGTTTCACGCGGTGCCTGCAAAGGTGCAACTCCTTGCAAATTAACGGCAGGCACCTGCATGGAGGAGACCCCCGGATTCAGCACGCAGCCTGACAAAACGGTTTCCGCTTTGCCCTGCTGGTCTGCAAGCTCTTGTGTGATCCAGGAGCTGTGTGAACAACATGGAGTTACAGAACTCCACGTTCCCGTCTGTGCTTTTAATTTCCAGCTCTTGAGACACCTGAGAGCTGCTTTGCCCGTGCAAAACGGGGAGTGGGGCTGTCCTGGACAGGAACTGCTCAAAGCAGAGCAGGAGCTCCTGGATGGTGGCACACTGACAGCCGCAATGCCATCAGTGACAGCCACATCGTTACCCCACATCACACACAGTGGGGGTGATGTGAACACATGGGAGCTGCTCTGCTCCATGGCTGCTCACATTCCTTCTGACCCACCTCAGCTCCAGGCTGTGTTAGGCAATACATTTACTCAAGCAAAATATAGGAGAAAACCCAAAGGTGTTTTCACCTTGAACACAGAAAATTTATAATGCGTTGAGGATTCATTTGTAAACCAGATAAATGTGAGCACCTTATATGTGTTAGCACTTACTTTTATATGCTAAATTTGAAGTCTAACCACAGGTGTTTATGAGCACTGCAAATTATTCCTCTAGGCAACTACAGTTGACTGCATAATTACTGTTGACTGAATAATGGCAATAAATAAGGATCTGAGAGTGCACTGTCTGAATCCTTGCACCTTTAAGGACTGGAGCTGCCCATCTGCATACCCTGATCCCCCCATGTGGCCCCTCTTACTCTTATCACCAGGACCACCTTTGTCTGAACGGTGACTCAGGAGCCAAGAGCCATCCCTTGCAGTCCTTCTGCAGGCAAGAAGAGTCCCAATCTTTTGCTGCAAGACATCATCTTCCATCTCTAATCTTGGTTTGCAGCTCTCTGCCTGGTCGGATCAATGCTGCCATCTGCTTCTCCTGCCCAGGCACTGCTGCAAAGCTCTCCTGGCACTGCACTGCTGTTTTTGGAGCCTCCACCTCTGATTGTCACTGCTGCCGAGATGCCACCTCAGCAAGATGTGTTCTCCTGCACGTTGTTCCCAGGATGCATCTTTAAAATGAAGACAACAAGAAAGTAACGCCCCAGCCAGGAAGGAGCAGCCCAAGTGGGGGGCTTGCTGCTCGCTGCAGCAATTTCAGTGCCATACTTGGGGTCAGCCCCTTGTAGAGCTCGCAGCCTCCCACCATGTGTGCAGCAGCAAGCAGCCCGTGCTCCCTGGGAGAACACTGCAAACAGGAGCTGTGTCTTCTTGCTGCCTTCCTTATGCCCACATCACAGCCCCACTTTCCCTCCTGGCTGATCGTGCCCCACACGTGCCCAGGGCTGTGCCAGCACCGATAAGAAGACAGCCCCAAACCACAGGGCTGCCCAGCACAGTGCATGGGTGTTTTGGTGTCTCCCAGGGAAGGCTCTGCAGCTCAGACCAACATCACAAGCATCAAAAGAGCCTGGCACAGAGAGCATTATGAAACGATATGAGCTCTGAGCACATTCAAACACTGCCGTGTTTCTGAGTGTCCTGTGAGCTATTTCAGGAGATGATGACAGCGTTGCTCAGATTTCCTGCACAGCCTTGCAGTTATCTGCAGGTCCTACTGCTGCATCACGTGTTGTGCAGCAGCAGTCAGCAGATAGGATCTGGCACAGAGTGTTGCTCTCGGGCTGGAGCTGCTGCAGGAACCCTCCGAGCGGACACCGCTGACCCTGTGTGTGATGTACGGTGAGCAACTGGGAAATAAACGTCGTGCTGCAGGGGATGACAGCATCTGGGGGTGTGAGTGCATGCGGTGTGTGAGGCTGACGGCGGCTGTTTCCCCATTGCCGCTGCATAGCGGGGCTCTGCTCACAGAGCTGCTCCACCTGCAGGTCAGGGGATGCTCCAGCCCTGCGCTGCCCATGGCTCCATCCTAACTGCACTCATCCCCCAGCTGGTAACAAGGAAGTCGGCTCCGAAGGTAATGTCTACTATTTTATCACATGGGCTCACAACAAGGGAGGTGGATGTTGGCGGTAAGGCAGTAGGGGCTGAACGTTCTCACGCACTGACATTCACTGAATGTTTATGAGACCAAACAGTGAATGTTGGCACAGCGAAAGATGGACTGCGTGGGCAACATTTTCCTAGCAGCTGTGAAAAAGTGGGTCATCTCCACCGGTTAGGATCTGTACGAGCCCAGCATGCAGCTCTTGTTCATCACTGCCAAAAACGCACCTTTAATGGTGATGACTACGTTGAAAAATAGTACTTCGGAGCTGAGAACCTGCTCTATCACACAGTCTTATCGAAACGAGTCTTATCGTGCTCTTTCTCGCTGTTGTAATTTCCACGGAAATAAATAGGCGGCATTACATTCAGAGCGACCTATGTATTTCTGCGTTGGTCTCTGCCCAGTTGCTGTGGCACACGCTCGCCCCGCACCGCCGACCGCAAAGCTCCGCACTGCGAAGTGATGGGAAGCGGGCGGTGCTCAGAGCGCGGGGCTGCGGACTCACGTGCGGGCGGTGCGGCTGCTCTCAGCGCTCCCGCAGCGGCTCGGGGGGCGGTGGAGCGGATCCTCGGAGCGGGACGCACCGCCCCGCAGGGCCGGACCGGGGCGGAGCCGCTCCGCACGGGGCGCGCAGAGGCGCGGAGATTCACGCAGCGCCATGCGGGACTACGAGGAGGTGACCGCCTTCCTGGGCGAGTGGGGCCGCTTCCAGCGCCTCGTCTTCTTCCTGCTCAGCGCCAGCATCATCCCCAACGGCTTCAATGGGATGTCGGCCGTGTTTTTGGCCGGTACCCCCGAGCACCGCTGCGCCGTGCCGCCCGGAGCCAACCTGAGCGAGGAGTGGCGGAACGCCAGCATCCCGCTGGAGCTGCGCGGCGGACTGACGGAGCCGAGCCGCTGCAGCCGCTACCGCCTGGACGTGCTGCTCAACCTGTCGGCGCTGGGGCTGCGGCCCGGCATCGACGTGCATCTGGCGGAGCTGGAGCAGGAGCCGTGCCTGGACGGCTGGGAGTACAGCCGCGACGTGTACCGCTCCACCATCGTCAGTGAGGTGCGCGGGTGCGGTGCGGTGCGCGGAGGCGCGTAGGGACGGCGGGATCCCCGGGGTGGGGGGACAGAGAGAGTGGTTCCCCTCTACACACACCACCTCCCGCAGGGCGAATTCCTGAGGGAATGTGTCGGATGCCTGAGAGAAGGGCTGGGGCAGAAGTGATGCTCTGGGGGAGGTGAGCGGGAGCTCTGCAGCAGCCCGTGTTATCGCTGTGTGTTTTCATCTCGAGCGCCGGCGCGGTTTGTTTGGAGAGGGATTTTCTGTGGCAGTGAGGCTGAAAATAGAAGCGTGATGGTTTCTCCCTGCTGTTTCCTCCTGCTGTTTTCTCCCTGCTGGCACGCTGAGCGTCCTGGCTAATTCCCACTGATTCACTTCTTGGCACGAGGATGCCGCCACTGCCAAGGGACACAGAGCGTGGGGCTTTGGAGGCTGGGAGCTTTGTGGACAGTGATCCGTCGGGGAGCCGGCTCTGACCTGTGAGCCCGATTTTAAGCCTGTGCAATGGCATCATCTGTGCAGGAACATGGGGACATCGGTAGTGACAGCCACAGGAGCACTTTTGTGGTTTTGGTGAGCTCTCTGCCTCTGCTGGCGATGAGCTGTGATAGAGCAGTGTGATGCCCCAAAAGCTGTGGGACTGCTGTGCTCTTTGGTGTTGTAGCAGAGGGTGATGGCAATAACGAGCTCAGCCCACGCTGGTGTGTGGCAGCTGATGCCCCACGTGCCCCAGGATGGGCAGTGTCACACAGTGTCCCCAGCCAGGATGGCTCCAAGTGACCCGGGAGGGAGCAGAGCATCCCACACTGAGTGAGACCATTGTAGCCTTGGGCTTGGGGTGGGCTTGTGCACAGCTGTGGAGATTGGGATCCTGCCCTGGTCGTGCTCAGCAATGCCAGCATTAACCCTGCTGGTACCACAGGGTCACGTCCCATTCGTGCAGCCCATGGCTTGTGCTTGGGGTGTGGGCAGCAGTGGTTGGCACCGGCTGCAGCCCTGGTGACTCAGCAGAGCCATCTGCCACCAAAAGCTGCTGCACGGCTGGGGAAAGTCCTGCCAGGAGCTCTGGGCTGTGGGACTGAGCCAGGGGCATGGGGACACTGATGTGGGGGAGGGGGAAGTGGCAGCAAGACATGGGGAGGGAACAGCAACCCCCCAGTGCTCACTGTGGGGTTTGCCTTGGGGACCTGGGGCACACCCATGGGGCCAGAGCACACTCAGTTTCAGTGGAAACCAAGTGCTGGGTTCCCATCTGTAGGCCAGATGGAGAAGGATTCTTGTTGTGTTCAGAACGGCATGAACATGTGGGAAAGATTTTGGGTTCGGTTTTGAAACAGGGAAAGCAGGCAGTGATGAAACAGTGAAAAGGAGCAGTTTGGTTAAACTTGTGATGCTGATTTTTGTGCCCAGCATTTCTGTCTGTGTTCACAAAGACAAGTCTGGGCACATCATCAGGCAGGCTCCCTGCAAAACCATCCTCAGCAGAGGAGCAGAATTGGATGGCACAGGATGAAACACCGGAGGTTATGTTCGATTCACTGAGTTGCATCAAATCCTGTTACTGCTGCTGGAAAGGAGCAGGCTGGAGGATGCCAGCTCTGTGCTGGGCTGCGTGGGGATGTGCAGATCCCCTGGGCAGAGCATCCCAGGCTCAGTCACAGGGTTGGTCTGAAAACAGATGACAGAAGTGAATGTGCCTGCACAATAGCAAAGAGCCTGTCAGTGTGGTAACAGTGGTGTGATGACAACCAACTCCTATTCCTGGTGGTGAAAGCTTGGAAGCTTACCTGAACTTTGCTCTGCAGTGCACTTGGCCAGGAACATTACAGTATTACTTATTTGCTGGTTAATGGATAATTAATCCAGCAGAGGCCATTTGGACACCGTGGCTGTGGGTGGTGCAGCTCTGTGTTGCAGGCACCCCCATCAGCAGCACCGTTCTGCTGAGCAGCCCCAGGTGTGCTGGGGGGCCATGAGTTTGGTTGTGTGTGTGTGTTTTCTGTTTGTCAAATGCAGTGAGTTCCTTTAGATAGAAATCCCAGCCCACCACCAGCTGCTGCATGTTGCATATCACATTCCACAAATGGAAAGGGCTTTGACCCAACCTCAGTAATTCCTGCTGTCTGTGTAGCATGTCATGGGACAGCTGTGAGAGGCATTAGGCACTGGGGAGCACGGGATCAGTGCAGGTGTCTTCAGCTGGTGCCTTTGGCTTTGTGTAGGCATTTTGGAAGTGCTGACCCCTCCTCAGCTCCCACCCAGCAATGCAGAAGCAGGCATTGGGATGCTGCCCTTTAAGATAAGAGATGATGGCCTCATGTTGCATCAGGGCAGGTTCAGGTTGGATATTAAGGAAAATCTCTTCTCTAGAAGAGCTGTCAGGTGCTGGCACAGCTGCCCAGGGAGTGGGGCATGGTAGGGTGGGGTGGGTTGGGCTTGGGGATCTGAAAGGTCTTTTCCAACCTTAATGATTCTGTGATTAACTAGTGACAAATTTAATCCTGGGGCTTCATTTCCAACTTGTTGGCTGAGTCCATGAGCCCTGAGCTGTTGGGATGCCTCCTGGTGCCCCCAAAGCAGCATCCTGGTGTCCAATGCAAGCCTGCAGCCAGAGTGGGTCAGGGTCACTGGGGACAGCTGCCACAGCTCCCTCTATTTGCTGGGTGTCACGTTTTCATGTCCTGAGTAATGCTCCGTGTTGGCTGCACATTCTGGCACCGCACTATTTGCTGACTGCACGAAGTTGGGCAAGTCAGGACATGGCAACTTGGAAACCTTCTCCCTTGTTCGCTGTCCTCTCGGCTCTTCTAGGAACATCCTACAGGAACTCTTCCTTGGAAATCTCAGTGCTGGGAGATCACATGAGGACGCAGCACAGTGGCACAGTGCTGGTCCAGGATAGAGGCCCGTGGAACCCAAGCTCGTACCGTGCAGGAGCAGCCCTCTTGCCTTTGTTCATGTTTTTTTGAAGAAACTCTTGCTTTTCATGTCCCATTTCCTGAAGCTGAGTTTTGCTTTGTTTTTAACACAGGGTTTGATTTCCACCAGGTTTACAGATTCCCTTTGACAAGATTCACAGATCCCAGTGCACACGTTCCAAGAGCAGCATCCTTACTCCAACATTTCGGGAAATGGAGATGATGATCCCTATGGATATTCCAGCTTGGGATATTCCATGACTCCATATTCTTTGCAAGTGTCAGAGCTCTGCTGGCCTACCTTTCCCCTCCATTTTATCAAGTGCAATTAAGATAATCACAGATGAGCGCCCAGTCCTGGCCTGTGCCTACCCACCCCTCCTAGGGACAAAATGCTTTCTTTTAGATACTAATCAGATTGAAGGGGTTGAGGCACACCTCCTGGTTCCTCTCCAAAGGACGAATCCTGGCAGAGGCAATGTGCTCTTGATAGCAAAGCTAATTACTGAAATTATGCTGCACTTTGATCTGGGGCTGACCAGCCTACATTTATGGTACACTTGTCTCATCTGTTTGAAGTTCTGCAGCACCCCATAAATGTGTCCTGACCAGGGCTGCTCCCTGGGATGTCAGCGAGCCCTGCTGCATTCATAGTGCTCTTCTGATTTTTTTTTTTTTAAGCTCTGTGTGGGTGCTGGGTGGAAGTTTCCACTCTGGCTCCCATCCCAAAGCTCGTCCCAGCTGCGAGGGTGAGCGATGAGCACCTGCGGGCTGCAGGGGGAAAGGGAATGTGCAAAACCATCTGTGTGAGAAAATAGAGTTTGTTCTACTTACGCTCTCACATAGATTCTGTCAAACCCACAAGCCAGAGAACCTGCGGATGTGATTAGTGAGCATGGTAGGGATGGGCTGGGGGTGGACTTGGTGATCTGTCAGGTCTGGATGCAGGCAGCCCCATGGGCACGGGCAGCTGCATGCTGACAGCAGAGACCTCGGTGTCCCAGCACTGAGGATAGGGGAATTCATCCAAATTGTATGGAAATGGGCACGTTCCCAGGAAGCAAAAGTTCCCGTGTGTGACAGAGGCTGAATGTGGGCCCTTCTCTTGCAGTGGAACCTGGTGTGTGAGGACGACTGGAAAGTGCCGCTGACCACATCCCTGTTCTTCGTGGGGGTCCTCATCGGCTCCTTCATCTCGGGGCAGCTCTCAGACAGGTAATGCTGCCAGCACTGCTCAGAGCAGGGCAGAGTCCAAGAACAGCCCAGCTGGAGGCTGTAGGACCCATGAGGGAGCTTAGCACCCAGTTCTCCACATTTCAATCAAAATGTGCTTTAGCTTCTTTAGAAGTTCCACATTTCAAACCACAACTAGATCCCGTCTTTCCAACCGTGTCCTTGTCCTTCCCCAGGTTTGGCAGGAAAAGCATCCTCTTCTTGACCATGGCTGTGCAGACCGGCTTCAGCTTCCTGCAGATCTTCTCCACCAGCTGGGAGATGTTCACAGTGCTCTTCCTCATAGTGGGCATGGGACAGATCTCCAACTATGTGGTGGCCTTCATATTGGGTAGGAATTGATCTGCATTAGTTTAAGTGCTTGCTTAATGTATTATTTTTTGTCTTCTTAATCTGCACTTCATTATGGACAGCACTAAATCCTTATTGGTACAGTTACTAATTTAGGCCAGTATGATTTTTTTTCTCCTGGATGCCTTAAGGGAGCTCTTCAAATAATTAGTTAGAGCCTGCAGTTTCTGTAGGCTTAGAGAAGAAGATGAGTGCAACAGACATCAACACAAGCACCCATTTCTGTCCTGCTAAGGGGAAGAGTTGGAGAGAGGCTCAGGGCTGCTATCAGCAGGAACAGGGCTGGCAGCAGCAGCATTTGGGGCTCCTCCCTGCCAAGCCCCTGTAGCAGAAGGATCTGCACACCTCAGAGCAGAGCAGCATTGCTGTGGACAGCACATAGCCATGCTCCCCCTGCAGCACTGTGTCACAGCCAGCTGCTGTCACCTCCCTTCATTCTGTGGTCACCTTTGTCCCTCATGCTGCATTATTTGGGGCCATGAAGGGGTTGGTTGGGGCCAGTTTGAGGCCCCCAGCATCACCCTGCATCCATCACTTTGCATCCATTATGCTGCATCTGCCATGGGAAGCTACTAGTACAGAGTCAGGGGCTTTGGGCAATACAGGTGACCCTGATGGCTGGGTAGCCGTGGGCCCTGGATGGCCACAAAATCCCTCTTTATTTTCCCAAGGAGAAACACAGGGCAGTTCTGTGGCTGTGGAACTGTACTTTTGGGGTTGTGCTGCAGCTCCTGGCAGAGCTGTAGGGCTGTGCTCAGAATGTCCATGTTCAGGTGCTGAGGCTGTAAAACAACACTGGTTTGTGAAGGCGTGCTGGTGTCAGCCCAGAATTGCTATTTCCTGGTCTGGAGAATGAGGGCAGGGGAGGGCAGAAGGGAATTGTAGCTGGCAGTTGTCAGCTCATATTGGCTTTGTAGTGCCACAAACCCTCCTTTTTTATATAATGTTTATGAAAGAATCACAGAATGGTTTTGTTGGAAGGGATCTTACAGCCCCCCCAGCTCCACTCCTGCCATGGCTTGGCTGCTCCCTCCCAGCTCAACCTGCCCAGCACCCATCCATGGCCTCGTGCACCTCCAGGGAAGGTTTACAACATCCCTTGCTAGGTGTTGCACTGGCCCCAGGCTGTGTCACACAGCTTTTGCTGACTGCTGTCATGCGGTGATGCTGGTTGCAGCCAAGAGTGCTATCAGGGACCACTGTTGTGTTTCATGCCCTGCAGCCACAGCGTGCTGCTGGCAGTGCAGCCTTGTGTTCCCAGAGATAAAGCAGCACTGGTTCCCACCCACAGACTGGTTTTCCTTCAGCAGCAAATTACTTGTTAACCCCAAACTGGATGTGCTGCAGGTGGCCCTGCCGGCACTGGGATGAGGGGCAGGGAATCTGCCAGCTGGGAAACCCCAAACCCAAGGGTAGAAAGCTTTGGGAAGGGGCTGAGCTCCCCAGCACTGAGCAATGCAGAGCAAATAGCACCTGCAGCCTGCCCAGGGCTGGGCTTAACAGACATCTCTGAAACTCTGTGTTTTAGATATGAGGTTATCAAAGGCAGTTTAGGTGCTCTCTGATCATTTTGTTCCCCAAGCAGAGGTCATTCACCTTCACACGAAACTCTGGCTGCTGCTGGGGGCATTGGCTGTCACTGGGGTCAATATTTCCCCTCTGCTGGGAGCAAAGCACAGAGCCTTCGCATTTCACTTCCACATGGCTGCCTTTATTTCTGTTCCCAACTCATTTATGATGTTAAGAGGAGGACTTCATTAAAAGATACTGCCAGCTGTTTATTTTTTAATTTGTGGCAGAGGAGGGCTTGGTGATCCAAATTGCTCTGAGCCCTCTGTTAGACCTGTCAGCTCTGATGGCAATAACACAGGAACTGCACTCCTTGGCAGTGTCCATTGAAGTGTCACATAAGAGGAACTGCTGTTTTCTAACATTGTTCAGCTTATCTCTTTGCAAATGCACTAAAGTTTATATTCATGATTGACCAGAAAGAGTTAAAATGCTAATCCAACCTCCCTTGTTTTAAACAGGAACAGAAATTCTTGGCAAATCAGTTCGTATTATATTCTCTACGTTAGGAGTTTGCATATTTTTTGCAATTGGCTACATGTTGCTGCCCCTGTTTGCTTACTTCATCAGAGATTGGCGGATGCTGCTGCTGGCTCTCACCCTCCCCGGGCTGCTCTGCGTTCCGCTCTGGTGGTGAGTGTGGGTGTCCTGGGCACCTCCTCCCCTTCTGGTGGATTTTCTTTTTCCCATGTGAAGGGATTTGCTTTGAGGTAGAGCTGGGGGGTGGGGAGGAGGGATGTTTTCTTTGTTGTTGTTTTTTTTGGTTTTGTTTTTGGCCAGTTCTAGGCCCAGATAACCGCCTGCTGATCCTCATGCTGCCATGGGCTTTTTTTTCACCAGCTTCCAGAGCAGCTTGGAAATTTTCTACCTGCCTTATGCCTCCAGGCATTGCTGATCACCTCTCAGCTTACTCTGTAGTATTGCCCAGTGATTTGGTCTTAACTTTTCTTCCCTGCTTTTTCCTTTAAGCCGTTCTTAATGAGGATTCAACTGCTGCTGGGCTGTGAAATCCCAGCAAAAGGCCAGCAGTTCACTATGCTATCGGGTCCAATTCTCCCCTGAGGGTTATTTCGCTCATTTAACTTGAAATGTCTCAGAGTCCTTCACCACAGTTGTGTATCCCTCTGTCCCAAACTGCTGCTTGATGGGGAGGTTGTTTTTTGTATGCAAGCTTTCAGATTTCTGCTTTGGGATTGGCACTGTGAGGCATGAGAAATATGTCCCTAAGGCAAGGCTTCAGAGTCCTGCTTTGCAATTTGGTGGGATTCTCTTTCAAAGCATGCAGAAGATTGCTGTGGGTGCACTTTCAGTTTGGAGTTAATGCAGTGGTGATAAAAAACTCACGTGGCACTCGAAGCATGGGTTAGCCCTTTGGGGAGCTGCTTGGTGAAGGAATTATGGAATAATGGAATGGCTTGGGTTGGAAAGAGAAGAGGGTTCAGTTAAGGAAGGGTGAGGCCTTCTGTCCTGTGTTTGATGTTAATTTGCTCTACACGTGTCTGGAATTGATTGGAAACTGCCATCAGGAACATGGCCACCGTCCTTTGCCTGGAGAGCTTGCATCAGATTTGTGGTGGAATTGTCATGTTTTGTACATAGGATTCCTATGACACAGAGCTTTTTGATGCACCCTCTGCACATTTAAAGCATTCCCACACTATATGTTATTTCCTGAGAATAATTTTGCTAAACCTTGGTTGAGCTGCCCCCATCCTTGCTGTCTGTGCAGTAAGTGTGCAGCTTGCTAGGGGGCAGCAACGAATAAAAGCAGCCCTCAAGGAGAAGTGCCCACACTTCTGCTTCAGCACGAGGACACGCATGTCCCTTGTGCCCCAGTCCTCCTCTGGTCCCAGTGGGACGAGTTGCATTGCCTGCATGCTTCTCTGCTGACTATAAATGAGAGCATCACTCCTACAGAGCATCCATGTGGTTTTAATAATGCCTTACTTCAGTGAAAAGCGTTGAGTCATTTATTCTGAAACTCATTGCAGGATCATTCCTGAGTCCCCTCGCTGGCTGATCTCCCAGGGAAGATATAAAGAGGCAGAAGTTATTATCCGAAAGGCTGCAAAAATAAACAACACCCCAGCCCCAGCCGTGCTTTTTGATGCCGCAGAGGTACGTGTCACACATCCTACCGCTTTTGGCGTGTTGTAAACTGGCAGAGCAGAACCGGCTTCCAGCCGCAGCTCACAGAGGCTGGCAGGGCTGCTGGCCTCAGGTAAGTGTTGGGGCAGCAGGTGTGAGATGAGCAGCCACAGGGCTCGTTTCTTGGCTTGCTTTTTTAGCAGAAAAACTTTCTTAGCAGAAGTTGGTTGTGGTTTTCAGGGTAAGGGTAACCCAGCTTGCTTCACCCTGGGAGCACCGAGGAGGCCTGAGGAGGACAAGTTTGACCCCATTCCAGCTTGGGGCAGTGTCAGCTGTTTGCAGTTTAACTACGGCCCTTTGCTGGGCTGCACATGAGCACTAAGTCCAGGTCCACGTGTGCAGGGTCTGTGCGGCCCCAGGGATGCTCCAGCTGCACAGAGCAGCAAGTGCTGGAGCTGCACTTAAAGCATGTGACTAGGGTGAAGGCACTGAATCACATTAAGTTCTGCGGGCCTGTTTTTGTTTTTTTATCCCTTGTATTTCATGTTTCTTGGTTAAAAGGAGAAATCCAAGGAACTGCTTACAGCTGTGAAATGGCTGGGTTTTGTGCCTGCCTCCCTACGGGAGCTTTGTCCCACTCTGGAGCTCCTGAAGTCTCAGAAAGAACCCAGGCCAAGCTGATGGTGACCACGGGTCTGTGCTGAGTCTGAATTTCTGCGTCTCACCAGCACTTGCATTGTCTCTCCTGACATCTCCTGGTACAACAATAGCAAAGCACCACACATCTCTTGCGATACTTGGAGCAACATTTATTGTGCTTAAATTTTGGCTGAGCTGCTGAAGAGCTCTTTTCCAAACATTTGTGGTGCTGTAAATTTGAGTGCAAGTTCCATCTATGGGAAGCTATGGGCACCATGGAAGCATTATCCTCACTTCTCAGTTGTCCTTCATCCTGGATGTGACCTTTCATGCTCTGGCAGCTGAGCACAGATCATCACTCTGTGCATTTCTGGGACCAAGCAGCAGCTCAACTGTGCTCATTCTGTGGGAACCTCACATCCCAAGAACCTGTCCACAGCAGCCTGAGGATGATGTCTGCACCTGAAGCCTCCCGCTGAAGTATTGTTCAAATGCTGCCGTAAAGATGTTCCTCAGAAATTACATTCCTTCCTAGGAAAGGGAAATCTCCTCGGGAGCCCCACAGGAGGGTCAGGGCTTCATTACAGGAGGTTCATCTTCACTCTGGGGCTGGGAGGAAGCCTGGCTGCCAGCACTGACCTCTGCTTGGGCTTTTCTGTGCCCCAGCAGGAGTTGACTGGCTAACCTTGGCCTCTGCACTGAGACCCAGCATCAGTCTCCATCCCCCGCCGACAGCAGGCAGCTGAACTGGTGTTGTGTATTTATCTCCCACCCTGTTGAATGATGAGCAGAAGAGAGCTGAGTGCACAGGCGTGCACACGCAGAAAAACACCTTCACTCATGAGGTTGCTCCTGGAAGGACTGTGTTAGATCCTTGAGGAAGTATTAATGCGCCTTTCTGGTCATCTGACATAATTCGTGTGCACGGTGCAGCTGTCCCAAGTGCTGCCTTTTTTAACCCAAAAACTCAAGCCACCATGGAGTGCTGCTGGTGCAGGGGTCAGCTCCGCTAAGGACTTGGGCTGACCCGTTATCCCAGTGCAGTCATAACTTCCTACTGCCCGAGCTATTGGTATGCAAAGGTTGTTGTGCTCTGAGGTGTGTGGGAATTTTTTTGGTTTTGTTTTCCTTTTTCCTTCAGATGCAGGATTCGAAGCCTCAGCAGCAGCAGAAGGCTATCCTTCTGGACCTATTTCGAACCCGAAACATTGCAACTATTACTATTATGTCATTACTTTTGTGGTAAGGAAATGTGTATTCCTAAAGTACCCAGGCAATAGAACAATCTCTGCTTTGAGGGCACGTGTCACAGGTTTAGATAATGAGTTTCAGCCTTGGTGCCTGCCCACACACAGCCCTTGGCTGGTACATGTCCCTCGGTAGCCTCTGCACCTGTGCTGCATTAGCACACAAGTGTGGAGGTGTAGCCTCAACTCAGTGTAAAACAGCAAGGAAACCATACGTAACAGCCTGCGTATGTAATTTTTTTTAAGCTCCCATCTCTGTAGCCTCTGTTTGAAGAGAAATGTCTCATAGCAGAGGCAGCATCTCAGTAGCATAACAAGCACCAAAGCCAAGGCCAGCGCTTGCGTTGTTCCTATCTGTGAGGTCCTGGTCCCTGCCTGGGCAGCCACGAGGAGTGAGGACCAAGTAGTGCACTTTAGGCAGACTGTAGCCCCTTTCTGTACCTATTTCCCCACAGGAGGGACCTGGCTGGCACACTCAGTATGCTGTAGGGGGGCAGGTCTGAAACCTGAACATCCAGCTCTGGTGTGAAGATTAAAGTCAGATGTATGCAGACTGCTGAGGGTGGGAGAGCCCATCAGTGGAGCATGCCACAGATGGCATGGGAGGCTTCCTAGTCTTGTGTCATTGTGCTGTTAATGAGCCCACTGCAGGGAAAAGCCTTTGTGAGCGACTTCTACAAAGGCTCATACTTGGTGTAGAAGGCGGAGGAAGGACAGAGAAATCCGAGGTCTGCAAGCTGCTGTGGATGTGGTCACTGGAAGGGATGGCAGAGTTAGAAAGATGGGGCTGCCAGTGAGGTGGCTGAGCCGTGGTGTCCGTGCTGATGCTTTGCGACATCCGATTTTCGTAGCAACCTCTGAGGCAACACCGGAGGTGTTCAGAGCGCAGTGTTTCGGGGATCATTTGGTATTATTGCTTTTCTCAGGTTTTTCACCTCCGTTGGTTACTTTGGCCTTTCCCTCAACACTCCAAACCTGCATGGCGATGCCTACATCAACTGCTTCCTTTCAGCGGTCATTGAAGTCCCAGCATACATCATTGCCTGGCTGCTCCTGCGCTCCCTGCCTCGCCGCTACTCCATATCCGGCACCTTGGTTTTGGGGGGAGGTGTTGTCCTCTTCATTAAGCTGGTTCCCATGGGTACGAGATCCAAATACACCCATTAAATAAAACATCACCGTGTTTTATGCTTCTGTCTCACGGTTCTGTGAAATTAATGGAATCTCTGATCAAACTTGGGATCTGAGGTCAAATTTATGCTGATTGCTAGTAGTGATTCTTTTACCAGTACAGACATATATGCTGAGTCACACACTGCTCTCAATTGTGTCAGATTTCTGAGCTTTTTATAGGCCAGGAGAACCAGCCAAAAGTGTACTGTGATTTGTTTGGTTATGCAGAGAGGCTGAAACCATCCTGCAAGCCTCCCAGACTTCACTGTGTGTAAATCTCCACTAAATTTTGCAAAATAGGGATGGATTTACACTTGTGCTTTGCTACTGTGTAATATGGAATTTTGTTCTATTTCAAGAATGCCTTTTCGCTGGGAGAAAAGCAAAAACTGAAAAGTGCACAATAAGCTGTGCCTTCTGCAGTGCGCTCAGCAGGGAAGCTGCAGCCAAGTGGGACTAATGGGCTGCAAAATTAGAAACAAAATAAAACATCCCACACAACTCCTATGGGAAACCAGAACAAAGCAGCGATAGGATCCTTGGGAGGTAAAAGAAACACAAGGAATGAGCAAAGAGTGTTGTTTATTCATCTTGCTTTTTATCTTTCTCCTCCAGATCTCAATGTCCTATCTCTTTGCCTGGTGATGCTTGGAAAGTTTGGTATCACAGCTGCGTTTTCAATGCTTTATGTCTACAATGTGGAGCTGTACCCAACACTGGTCAGAAACATGGCAGTCGGAGCTACGTCCACAGCTTCCAGGCTGGGCAGCATCATTGCTCCCTACTTCGTTTACCTGGGTGAGATACCCTGCACTCTTGCCTTGAGCTGCATAATTGCCCATAAAATTACCTGAGCTTCTGAGGTTCAGGTTCAGCTCTTAACTCCCTCCACTTGCTGTCTTCTAAGTCCATTCTCTCACATTGGGTCTGAGTTCTATATCCTGCACTAAGCCAGGCATCTTGACATTCATTTTGCTTTTTTTCTTACGGTTTACATTTTGATCTATGAGCAGAAGTATTCATTTCCCAAAGGAAATTTTTTGTGACGCTCTTTAACATCCCATTCTGAGCACTGCACAAAGATTGTGCAATGCAAATGTGAAATAAGAGATGGAATGGCTGTGGTGCTCCTTGGGGTCTTCAGTCTCTGCTGCAGCCTAAGTAGCAGTAACAGATATAGACAGGAATAAGCTTTTATTGTTACGTTTTGCTTGCAGGTTCCCATAGGCTCAATCTTTAAAAAGTCTTGTTGCAGTCATCCGAATAGTTTTCTAAATGCTAGGAGGTTTTAGGAGAAACTGGTGAGCTGCTGAAATTTGCTACAGCTCAGTCAGGCCCTTGCAGTTTGTCCAGCTCATAAGCACTGAGGAGATCAAATCACAAACTTTGGCTCCAAATGTGAAATACCCAGAGGTCTTCATTTTAATCCTAGCTTATTTCTCACATTAGAAAGCATGCTGCTATATCCCAACTACAAAATAAAGCTGTCAAGTTCAGTTTGGTCCTTTCTCTGCCTTGCTTTAATTCCTGGCTAATCCCTTTATTGAAAGACCTCTGAAGCTCTGCGTTACTGTGATGAAAGTCCTGCACTCTGAATGCTGGTGCACTAACTGCAGGCTGCTGGCAGGGGCCGCTGCTTTCATGCTCTAAATCAGAAACTGAGCAGACCAATGTGAGAGCCTCCTGTCTGTCCCTGCAGTGATGCTTCATAGAATCATGGAATTGTTTAAGTTGCAAGGAACCCTTAAAGCTCATCTAGTCCAACTCCTCTAAATGAACAGGGATGCCTACAGTTCCATCAGGTGCTTCCTCTGCTTCCAAAGAGGAGATGAATGTAGGAGTTCCCCTCACTCATGGTCCATTAGTCTGAATTTGGCCTCTTTGCTGCATTATTCCAAATGAAATCTGCATTGCAATGATGTCTGAAATGTAAACTTTATGCGTGGGTTCATAGAAGGTGGCTCTGTAATTGATCTTCTCTTGTTCTGTGTTCTGCCAGGTGCCTATGACAGATACCTACCATATATCCTCATGGGAAGCCTGACTGTGCTGATAGGGATCCTCACCCTGTTTCTCCCTGAGAGCTATGGCAATGCTCTGCCTGAGAGCTTTGAACAAATGCTGAAGGTGAAATGGTAAGTCGGCCTTCATTCATCCCATCCTCCACAAGAATTCAGGACTTCTTTGTACAAAATCTCTTTTTACAATGAGAAAATGTTTCATCAGATCTATTGCAAAACATCAAAGCTTTCAGAGTGCCCTTTAGGTCTGTTGTTGTTAATTCTACAGACAGCTCTGAACCTGAGCACTAATGTGCTTGAAGGTGGGCACTCGCAAATAAATGCTGACCCCCACCAGGTGCTGTTTTGGGTACCCTGAGCAAATGTGCCCACTGAAATCTGTGTCATACATCGTAGTGCTGATGCAGTGCAAGCAGTGCTTGCTAGCCACTGCTGTGGGTGGGAAATTAGTGCAGGACACTGAATTCGTTCAAGTGCGGCTGCATAGACACCGTACACCACTCAGCTTTGTGAGGGAGAGTGAACAGAATTTGTCCTTTTAGGGCAAAAAACCAACTGAACAAAAAAAGCACATGGAATTGCCTGTAGCTAATGCCTGCTTGGTAAAGGAGCTGCCATTGTGCTTTCAGGGTAAGAAGGTTTCTCAGGCCAGGTTCCTTGATAAGAGCATGCTGCTCTTTTTTGCAGCTAGGGACTTTCATATACCTGACATTGCTTTTAGCTCTGCAGTTGATGTCCAGATTCCCTTTGCAGACATCTTGCATAAACAGAATGAAGTAACTGAATTATGGTCAGTGAATCATGCTGAAGCTCAAAATGTTGTTTCCTGCACTGCTTCTTCCATCCAGAAGGGCATGCTCCAGAGAAGGCCTGGTTTTTTTCCCAGTGTTTATATTAGTAGTGTAACACAGTTATTTTAGCAGTGCTAATTTGGAGGGCTCAGTGTCTGCTCTCACTCTGTAAAATGTTCTCTGCCTTCTCAGTCTTTTACTTGCTTTCAGTTTCAGGAATGGGCAACACACCACTGGCATTAGGAATTCAAAGGAGAGTACTAAAACTCTCACGACACCTTTGTGAAGAAGGATGCACGCTCTCCAAGGGGCTGGAAGAACAAGATTTCAAAATGCATTTTCTGCCACAGGAAAATGAACAAAAACCCAACAGCCAATGCTATGGCACTGTAGTTATTGTCCCTTGTGCTGCTGTACCCATGTACCTATTTTCTGAACAGATGCTGTCTGCTCCTATAGGGCTCTTAGTTTGTAATTCAGTGTTCTGATTCCTGGAGTGTGTCAGCAGATCCTCTGTTGAGAAACAGAGGTCTGCATGTGCTAAACATGTCTTGAGGAGTATTAGTACAGCAATGACTGCACTAGTCAATGAAAGCTGCTAAGAGAAAAGAAAGAAGGCAGCAGAGGTGATGGTGGTGGTTTTCTCACACTGTGCATACTGATTGGAGGAAGGCAAGCTGGGTGCGTCTGAACATCTCACACGTCTCTAAAGGAAAGATCCCAGCCTCATTTGAAATCTGTAACCAAGGCTTGGTACAACCTGGGATCCACTTCTGATCCACCTGTCCCTATAAAAGCTGATGCTTTTTCATAAGGCCTAATCCTGCTGAAATCACTGGGCTTTAGGAGTGCTGAGGTGTAAGGACTGAGCGAGGGCTATAGCTTGCTGATCTCCTTTTGATGGGCCATGCAAAAACAGGTTTTATCGAAGAAGTGGTCCTGTTCAAACATGCTCTGCATTTTCAGCTTTTGGGTTTCTCATAATATGCTGACATAAGCAACTTCTATATCTTTTTGTGGTTCTTTTTCAAAGCATTTCGTTTCTCCTCTGAATGTATACTACATTATGCTGTACCTTCAGAGAAAACTCAACTCGGTTTTGAAAGCCTCTACAAAAACCTTTGTACCATTTACGAATTTAAAGGAGATTTGATGTTTGCAAAAATCAGATGTTCTGTATAGGAGATTTTAATGTGCAGCTATTAAGAACTGAAAAGGGCTCATTGGGGACCATACTTTTTTTCTTTTTTTTTCCAAAGCAAAAATAATGCTGACAAAGCCAGTATTTTGTTTTTCAAGTCCTACAGGTTATTATGTGTTTTTTTTTTTTTTTTTTAAGTTCAGCAAAGCTAGATGAGATGAAATGTTGAACGTAGTAGAGCTTAGATTTGTGCTACTACTGTTTTACAAACACTGCGTAGTTTGAGAAAAATTTAATGCCTTTTACTTCTCTATTTATTGGTTGTGTGTGGACTTCTTGGCCGCATGAAGTCTCTCAGGCTGGGTAGGCTGATTTTTATCTTCTGTGAACCCATTTAGTGGTGATTCACATTCCGTTAAGGCCAACAAAGCGCACTGTCTCCTCTCTTAATGTGAGACTTCATGGCAGTTTGTCTTGTGCTGGCATTTGGCACGCAAGTGAGGATCTCCCTGCAAGTTCGAGCACAACTATAAAGGTTTATAACATTTAAATGCAAGGAACTTGTGCAATCATCTCAAGCTGCTCTTTGGGATGTAGCAATACTACTTCCTTTAATATTAATTTTCTGTAGTCATGCTTTATGCCATAAATGTAATGTGCCATAAGGCTAACCCACATCCTCATCCCTTCTCAAACTGGAATTTCCTTAATGACAGCAGTATTTAATTCTTTATTTTACTTATTGCAAAGTTAATCTATCAAATAACTGTTTAGGCACAACTAGATTTCTGAACAAAACCTTTCAGTTGGTGTAGGACAGGTCTGAGGACTTGGCTAAATATAGGTGGCCTCTATTTTTATGAAGATTTTTATATTAAGTTCATATTATTTTATGTGATTGTAGGCTTAGGTATTTCTGAAAGGTAAATATTTTTATATTCTTGAACTTGGTAGTATCTTAAAACTAGATTCCATTTTTTAAATAAGGAAGGGGATTGTGTTTTTTTTAAATGCTTTGTTTTAATTGGTCTTATTTTTCTTGCTTTTACCATTGATCAAAAGCTAGCGTCGTATTTTAGTATTTTAGTAGCAAATTTAAAAAAAAAATGCAAGAGTGGAATGCATTGTTGACAAGAATGTGATGTTGTTATATGGACTCAGTGTGTCTGAGCACAGTCAGAATGAGAAAATGAGATTGCTTCAGCTGATGAAGCACTTGTAAGGAGGATTTCTGTCCTCTGACCGTATCTTTCCTAGGCCAGAACAGGGATTTCTGAAGGAACTCAGAGAGCAGCAGCCTGCTGAAGAATCATACAGGGATGAATCTGGAGGGCAGGAGTGCCAGATTCTGTCAAGTTACTACATTTTTAACTGTAAAGCTGAAGAAAACAGAATTGGCTTAGTAGCCATTGGCTACTAAGAAAATAAATGTATTTCTGATGAGGAACCTAAGACTTTCACTGCAGTCTTCAGTGAGTTGTGTGTGTCAGATGCTTGGTGGGGCTCACTGTGGGACCTGTGTGCTCACCTCAGCTGGGAGATGCACCTACAGCTCTGACCAGAGGATGGGAGGGAAGCACAACTGCATGGCTCCCACTGATTGCACTGGGCCTCAGCTCTCTCCTCTGTTAAATTTACCCGGGTCTCTCTGTGTAACCTCTTATCATCAGTAAGATCTGACACGGGCTTGTTGGATGTCTTAAAGCACACATAAATACGTAGTTGTTGTCACCTGGGAACTCCTGTCTTTGTTGGAATAAAACGTACGCTAGTACTGTGTAACCTATTTTCTGTGTGGTTTGTAGTTGAAGAATAAAGTCTCCTAAATTTAACACTTTGTTTAAAGATGTTTAAAGAAGTAATTTAAAATGAACTTAGCATGCATAAAATTTTATGAAAATAAAAACTCAAAATAAACTCTTCCACGCAAGAGGCATGCTGCTCTTCCCAGCTCCCCATCAGCAACCTGGACTTCACCACAGCAGCATTTCAGCCTTGCACCATCATCAGGCATCAACCACGACACTGTTTTGGCCTTGCACCAAGGCCCCTGGCTCTGACCGTGGCAACATTTGAGCCTTGCACCTTAGATCTGGCCTTGGCTGTGGTGATATTTTGGATTTGCACTGTGAACCTGGCCTTGTCTATGGTGTCATTTTGGCCTGCTGGAAAGAAGCAATCCCAGCTGTCAGGCCACTGCCCAGAGGCAAACTCGAGGCCTCCCTCCATTGCCTGCTGCCTGCAGCACAGCAGGGGCTCCTCCCTCATCCCCCGCTGCCGGCCTTCGGCTGAGCAGAGCAGGATCCAGAATCCTGGACCTGCAGGGGTTGGAATGGACCTCCGGAGATCGTTTAGTCCCAGCTCCCTGCTAAAACAGGCTGCCTACAGCAGCTGCACAGGAAAGCATCCAGGCGTGTTTGGATACAGCCGGAGGAGGAGATGTCCCCACCGCTCCGAGCGGCGCCGCCCTCACAATAAAATTCTTTCTCGCGTTCAGGTGGAGCTTCCTATCGCTGCTCCTCTGCATCCTGCAGCTCCGAGAGGCGTTTATATTTCGAATCAGTCCTCAGCGATCTACCCATCATCTGACTGACGTGACGGTAACCAGCGGGATCTCCCTGTCCTTGCCGACATCGGGCCCTTTTCCGTTCCGCGTTCTCCCTCTGTTCCCTTGGGAGCGGGCGGTGAGCCGTGCTGCGGTTCAGCTGCGCGTGGGGGTGGAACCAGCACGGGAACGCAGGCTGTGTGCCGTTCAGTCGATGTAACCGCAGCGATCTACCTATTTATTATCTGGGCACTTGGGACATCTGTGATTTGAAACACGCACGCGGCAGCGCGCTGCCAGCCCGGATCCCCTCCTGCCTCAGCCCAGCCCGCTCCGGGCGGATCCCCGGCCGAGCCCCCGCCGCGCCTCCGCGCCGGGCGCGGTGCATGCCGGGAGCTGCCGGCCGGGCCGCGCCGCGCCGGGTTGAGCCGGGCCGGGCTGGGGCGCAGCGCCCGGCCCCACCTGAGCGCCCTCCGCCCGCTAACCCCACCCCCGGCCGCTCCCCCGCCGGCGAGGCCCGGCCCATGGCAAAGCGCTCGGCCGGCGGCTGGGCGGCTCGGGGCCGGCCGCTTCCTGCCCGTCGGTAGCGGCGGGCGCAGTTCGGCCGCGCCATGCGGGACTACGAGGAGGTGACCGCCTTCCTGGGCGAGTGGGGCCGCTTCCAGCGCCTCGTCTTCTTCCTGCTCAGCGCCAGCATCGTCCCCAACGGCTTCAACGGGCTCTCCATCGTCTTCCTGGCCGGTACCCCCGAGCACCGCTGCGCCGTGCCGCCCGGAGCCAACCTGAGCGAGGAGTGGCGGAACGCCAGCATCCCGCTGGAGCTGCGCGGCGGACTGACGGAGCCGAGCCGCTGCAGCCGCTACCGCCTGGACGTGCTGCTCAACCTGTCGGCGCTGGGGCTGCGGCCCGGCATCGACGTGCATCTGGCGGAGCTGGAGCAGGAGCCGTGCCTGGACGGCTGGGAGTACAGCCGCGACGTGTACCGCTCCACCATCGTCACCGAGGTGAGGGGAGCGAAGCGGCCGGGCTTCGGGCTGAGCCCGCTCCGCACCGTGCGCGGTCAGGCGGTTTGCTTCCAGCCGCGCAGCCCGCGCGTCCGTCAGGAGCCGCGTTCCCGCTGATCCCGAAGCAGCCGCTGCCGGCAGGACGCAGCGCCCGCACCGCGTTGCCAAGGGAGCGTGTGTGGGTCTCAGCGCTGCTGTCCTGGGCTGCCCTGAGCGCTCCTGCTTTTGAATCTGGCGTGCTGCATTTAGTTGGAGATCTAAGCTTATCTTTTCTGTTTACTTCCACTTGCAAAAGTCGTCTCCAGCTGCGGTGTTTCGGCTTGTGTGGCCTCTATACGGTGCCTGCTGAATTGGTGTCAGCTGGTATTTAATGGTCTGGCATTAAATGAGGAGGTTGGTAGCCCTGCATGTGGCAGGGGGGTTGGAGTTTGATGAAACTCGAAGTCCCTTCCAACCCCCTTCCAACCCTGGCCATTCTGTGATTCTGTATCTGCAGGAGGACCTTGGCCCAGGAACAACAGGCTCGGCTGGCTTTATTGTTGGTGGTTCAAGGATGTCTCTTTGAACTCGTACATCAAAAGGGTTTGGTTTATTTTCTTAATAAAGGTGGCCAAAGTCATCCTGTAGGTGCCGCAGTTGGACGCAGCAGGGGAATTCCATTCTGTGCTGTGCTACAGAGGACCCCGAATTTGCTGCTTATCAGCCTTATATCTCCTGTCCCTGTTCAGCTCAGCTGTGTCCTGCCAGCAGAGCAGCTGACCTGGGCAGCCAGCGAGGCTGAGGCTGTGCTGGTTGTGCTTGTGTCAGGTGCGAGATGCACAGACCCACAGGCACCTGGCTGCCTTAAGACACAAGGAAATACTCAGATTTCAAACTGCAGATAGGACTTTTCAGAAGGCTTGTTAATTGTTTATACCATCCAGTTTCCTGGTTGTACATGTGAGCAATCTTTGCAGAACTGTAGCAATGTTTTCTGCCCAGTGGCCTTTGTTCTTTGCTCTGCCAAACAGATGGATGTTTGAGTGCTCAGTGCCTGCTCACTGCTCAGAGCACAGAAATGGGTGAAGGACCAGAGTGAAGAAGGGAGCGTGGGAGAGATGCCCTGTTAGCACAGGGAAGCGTGGGCATGGCAAAACGCGAATTGTGAAAACTTCTCTTGAAACGTGCACAGTCCTTAGGGCTTGGGTAGCTGCCACAAGGTGTTGCCTCACTTGTTTTTTAAAGAACTTCTTTCTTCACAAAAGAAGTTTCTGGTCATCAGTGAAATGTATGGCTGTGAAAGGATGAGGCACTCTCAGGCATAAGACAGTTGGCATCCTCTGGGATTCAGCATTTTGCAGGTGAATGTGCTGGTTTTGTCCTGAGTGCCACCATACAGTGCTTGTCCTGACTGAAGCGTGGTTTGTCAGCACGTTTTTCTCCCAGCTTCTTCACTGGGCTTTGACTCAGTGCAAGTTATGGGGTCTGAACTGTCAGAACTGCCAGAAGCTCCGAGGTCCCTTAGGAGAAGGAGCTGCTGATGTTCTGCTACGAGTCTGCAGCAGCTCTGTGCAGTTTGGTAGAAGTTCTGTGTCTGGGGGAGGTAGCAGTTGGCTGCCCAGACTTCGTGCACTGAGGCAGTATTTTTTTCATCCTTTTAATATTAATGCTTTTGAGCCAGTTTTGCAAGAGCTGTGGCCTTTTGCATACTTGCAGGTTTTCTCTGTTCGGCTTGTTTAAATTGCTGGCTTGGTGTTGCCGCTTTCATGGTTGACTAACGCTGTGTTTGGTTGCATATCTCGAACTTGTTGAATAATCATGAGGACCTTTGTCCCAGATTTCTGGAGCTGACACGGGGAGGGGGATGGGGTGTTTTTTAAGAAAGGTTTTTGCATAAATCTCTCCTGCCTCCAGGGAAAGCCCTCCGTTCTGTTTCTGCTTAGCAGAGGAGACTTAACACAATCAGTTCTCATTTGAAGGGAGACTTCCCTTTTTTTTTCCAACAGACACAACAGTAGCCAGTCTGCCCTATTTAACCAATTCTGCTGGAGCAAAATGCCTTTTCCTCCTTTACTTTTGGATACAGTGTATCGTGAGCCATAAGAAAAGCTTTTCTTTAGTCAAAGTAACCCTTCCTCCCTAAGTCCCATAAAAAAAAAAAAAAAAAAAAAAGAAGGATGTAGTCTTAAGAGTTCATGTGTAGTGCTAGGAGAAATATTATCTGGGGTGATTAAGGGGAAAGGCCAACTTCCTCTCCCAGTCCTGTGTGTGAAAGCCTGGTATCTGCTGTGGGATTGAACTGAGCAGTGCCTTGGAGCATGAGTAGTCTAGAGAATCACATCATGAGGACATGTTGGATGATGAAAACGTTTTAGTTTGGGAGAATTCTTACGTACCCAAGTATGGGAATGCTGCTTATATACTGACACTTAGATAGGTGAAGAGTTCTGTGTATGCGTTCATCTTCAGTTTTACAAACTGTTGTACCATTCTGAAATCAGTGCAGGCATCTTTTGTGCTCCAGAACTGCATGTTTTGAGCCCGTTGTAGTCTAATGTGTGTCAGTGGCTATTTTTGCAAAGGAAGGATGCTCACTGTGGAGCTACTGCAGCACCCTGAAGCCTGGTGTGATGCTGAGGCTCTGGATGCTTTATGAACGCACAGGGAAAGAAAGTTTCCGTGCACATATGACAGCCCTGAGTTTTCCATTACACCGAGGGATTCAAGTCCTGCCATGCTGGCAGACCCTTCAGTAAGTGATGCCAGATCACCAGGCAGTGGTGACAGCTGGAGTGGCACAAACAGGCTCTGTAGCACCGCTGTGTAACTAAAGTTTTGATCTCTTTCTGTTGGAGACAAGGAAGGCTGTGCTGTTCTGTAACAGCAGGCTTATGGCAGGGGTCTTAACTTCCATAAGCTTCCCTGGTAGGGGTGCCAGCAGCAGAGGTGTGAATCAAAGCCAGGTGAGGCAGGTTCAGCACTGCTGGGCACGTTGTTCGCTGCCACACGGCCTCCTTCTGTGCAGGAAGTTGCACCCAGATTTCCATTATTCTTTGTCCATTACAAACAGCACGTCCTCTTTGTTGCTGCAGGGTAATACTGTGTATTTTCTGGCTGAGGTTGATATCAACGGTTTCTCCGTCTCAGGAGCTGCCACAGCTATGAATGTGTCTTAGATAAATACTAACTGAGGCTGTGACCGATTTGTAGGTGCAAAATGTGAGAGTTAATAGTCCTGTCTGAAGGAGAAATGTCTCATTTCTAGCTTGTAAGTTAATGTGAGTAGCATCTGTACTGAAATGCTTTAAAAATGCAGTGGTTTTCATGCTGTGTTATATGAAGCATGTATTGCAGGGCTGTTCAGCCTTACGACGTAAAACGGAGTTGGGATTTTTAAAGAGTGATTGACCTCTTGTTGACACCATTAAAATTGAGACAGTGGTCATTTAGAGGCACCACGTGCAATAAATGATGGAATAATGATGGATCCTTTAGGATGTCTTTAACTTTAGATTGGTAATCCAGTTTTTTCTCAGTTTCTGGTGTCAGTGCCCTGTTTCCTTTCTTTTTCAGCCATCTCAGAAGTGGGATGTTTGGGAGAGTTAAGTTTTTTCATAGAAATTATGAAATGTTTGGTGTTTTCCTTTATGTTCTATGCAAGTTTTACTTCTATGATAGTTTAAAATGACTACAAGGTGAGAAATGGAGCATAATGTGTATTTAGGAGATGCAGGCTTCTGTTTGTAGATTAAAAGCTGTGAAAGAACATTAAAGCCATGAAATATCTTGGATGTCTGAATGTATTTCCAGAGGAAAAGTTGTTTAATAATGCTTAGCACTCTCAGCTAAATGGAGGATATTTACATGGGCATGATAGAGACCAGATTCTGAATTGATGACTGCAAGTACTCTGTTGTGAGATGGGCACAGGAGTTTTCTAAGAACCTGCTTTGCTTTACAGAGAGAAGCAGTTGGTGGGAGGGAGCATGTAATGCTGGGTTCACATCAAAACTTCTTACTAAAATGTTGATTAAAAAAAAAAAAAGTAAATTTAAAAAAGCACACGAGCCTATCCCACTTCTACTTTCATATGTGCAAACGTAACTGTGCACAGCTCTCAATGTTTTTGGTGTTTGTCATTGTACTTTGTGTGGGGTTCTGGTTACCAGTATCAGGGAAGCACAGTTGATGCAGCAGTGGAACACAAATTGAGAAAAGTGTTTTGGTTCTCTTTTTTTTGTTGTTGTTTTGGTTTTTTTGTTTTGCACCAGTGAGATCCTGAATTATATTGTTGACCTTGTGATTATTTCTATAACTTTCCAAAGGTATTTGGCAGCAGTTTGTATCTGTTTGCTGTGACACTGTAATTGCGAGGACTTTGGACGTTTTGTGGAATTCCCCCATATTCAGACTTGCAATTGCCATGTTATGGTATGTCATCAAATACTGGGCAGATTTTCTGCTTAAATATGACTGTCCTGTTGTTATTAGCAGTTACTTTGTTAGTTCCTGTTACATATATCTCCTTGGAAGAGGTGGCAAAATCCCACTGAAAGTTGGACACAATGAGGTGTCTGCATCAGTGCCTGGCTGGAGCACTGCAGGGGTTCATGTCAGGAACTCATGAGGTGCCAGCTCTCCTTCCAAGGCAGGTGATGTTCTGCAAGCACAATGGGTACGGTGCCCATACACAGAAAAAGTAGGTAACCTTTACCTCTGGGTGGTTTTGAAGTGCACAGATTGCTTGTAAGAGGTACCATTTTTACATAGGATGTGGCAACATCATCAGCTGCACTTGTGGCCAGAACTTGCCTCGCAGCTGTAGTTTGATGCCTTTATTTGCACTGCTGCCTGGCTTTCTGCACAACTCAAATATTTCATCTCAGAGTCTGAATTTCGTTGTGACTCTGGAGGCATGCGTGAGATTGCTGTGGCTCCCAGCTCAGTGCTGCAGGTGTGAGGCTGCTCGTGAAGACATCGCCCTGACCCGGTGAGCTCTGCAGCAAGTATTTACAGCCCAGTCAAAGTACTGCACTCTGAGTAAGAAGATAAGCTTAAATCACAACGGATGATATCCTTTTCCAAAGTTAAAATAATAACTGTGAGAAATCTCTGTGCAGTGGCGTGAGCAATGGGTAACAGTGCAGAGGAGCTGACACTTTGCAGGGTCAGTAGCTGCTCTTTGGAATAAGGACTGAAATATATTCTTCTCCTGTTTGGAAACACAGCACCTTGCTGAGGTGAGCCTTATCTGAGCCACTGGGGCAAAGGCTTTGCTTACTCAAGGGATACCAGGGGTAGCACATGATTTTAGAGCACTGGGTCACAGCGTGCTGTGTCCAAACAGCCCTGCCAGCAGCAGGAATCAATCAGTAACTGCTCTTGGGATGCTCACTGGCCTTCCAACCGTGATGCTTCGGTGACTTTTTCTTGGGCAATGTACGGTTCAGGGAAGGGTATGGCTGCAGAGTGGTTCTGGAGGGCTGATGCCATCATCAAACGAACAATGTAGACCTGTCTGGTGACTCATTAAAAAGCTGAGGACTTCATTCATTTACTGACTGGGGTGAGAGGTAACAGACCAGAAAATCCATCTGTTCTGATAGTTGTACCCGTGGAGTTTTTGGCTATAAATAAGTGGTATTGCACAACCAAGCTAGTTTTCCCTTGGAAACTCAACACTGAAGTTCTCTTCAGTGCCTGGTCCAAGGGCTCTTCGTCAGAACAGCTGCTGTAATTATGTAAATAGAGTGGACAGAAAAACAAGATAGTAATCAGAGCACCATCTGAAGGACCGGTGTGTTTCCACCTCTCAGGGCAGTGTAACACATTTCATAACCATGAACTTTTCCAAGCAGTGTCTCTATCTTAGCATTCACAGGAGATGTTTGTTACTGGGCACAACGTGCTGGTGTCCAAGTGTGGGGCAGGCTGGTGCTGAGCTGCAGTGTGGGAGACAACTGGAAGGAGACAGCCTGTGTCAAGTGTGTCAGCTGGAAACTAAGGGCTTATTTAGTAACATATGCAGTGATTTCTAATAACTGAGCTCCATGTCTGGTTCTGGTGGCTGGTGGAAAGGATTCTTGGAGTAAGTGAGTCTGTGTGAGTGCAGGATTTGTGCCGAGAGTGGTGTCTGACTCCCTGATAAATACCATCACGTGGAGACATATACGATATCCACAGAAGCCTCTGGTCTGTGTGAATTTGGTGGTGATCATTCACTGTGTATTTCCAAGCACTGTTAGTTTTACCAGAGCTTCTTGGCTGGTGTTAGGCTGTGTGAGCAGTCATCAGAGAACTGCTCAAACGTTCTTGCATCTACAACGCAGTGTTTGTTGGATGAACACAGATTAAATCATAAACGTGTTAAATTACAGCTTTTAATCTACGTCGTATTAATAATCATAGAATGTTATGGTTGGAAGAGATCCTAAAGGATCATCACTTTCACTCCCTGGCTCTGCGCAGGGCCTCTCAAAATTCAAATCCTATTTCTGAGAGTCACCCCCTGCTCCAGAGCCAGTTTAAAAACAACCGAGTAGAACCCACAGTACTGAACTGTTTGTAACTTGAGGAGGAAAGGAAGGAGTTGTTGGGATCAGTGTCAATATTTTCATTTCAACCTTTTTAGTGCAAATTGAAAACTCCCAAAGTTTCCATCACTAAAGCATCACATGAGGCCCTGCAGGAGCTGTCTGAAAGACAGCAGTCAGCAGGACCTGGCCTCGTGTCAGAAGTGCTGGTGGCCTCCAAATTCCCCTCCTGTGCTCAGCATCCTATGGGGTGAGCAGGACCCGAGGGCCAGCAGCTGCAGGCAGAGCCCAGCAGTGAGGGCAGGGTGAGGGGCATCCCTGCTGCTCTGTGCTTTCTTCTGGTATTTATGAATATTTACAAACTTTTTTTTCCCCCCTCAATAACCAAAACAAAATTAAGACTCTTTCAATAGCAGCTGTTGATAGAGATTAAAAAAATAACATGAATGCTATTTCCAAAAAATGAAACTGAAGCAGGTAAGAGGGTTGCAAACTGTTGCAGTCTTCATTTAGTGGGTGTCTCTTTTTTCCTTCCTATTTTTGCTAACGTGTATTTTCATTTTGAAAATCGTGTTTTTCTTGGTGTGTATTTCAGTTTGTGTTCTGAAGTTTGTAACTGATGCTTCCCTGGAGAAGTGAGATCTGCTGGGCTCTGCAGGTCCTGGTGCAGACCCACGCTTTGCAGTTTGCTCCCTGGTGAGCAGTGAAGCCTATCCCAAAATTAAATTGTAAATTTATTTTAAATGTAAATTTGATTACATTAAAATGTAATAAAGGAGGAGGCACTTCGCTCTGTGTAGTTCAATTTCTCTTAAATTATAAATGTGAAGTTTTAATGGAAGGGTTCACTGTACGCAGGAAAAAATTGGGGTTTGTAGTGATGCCTTGCAAACCCAGCAGGATTAAAAGCGAGCTGAATGGAGCGTACAATGAAACTGGGAGTGACCTTCATGCATAGGGGGAGAACCATAAGTGTCAGCCATTGACAATGTGTAAAGAAAAGCACAGGGATCTACAATAGAGGTGGTGGTGCTATGTCCTCAGATGGCTGCTCTGAAGAGGGATTGGAGCTGGTGGCATTTGGCCTCTGCTGAGCAGCACTGGTTGGTGTTAAGTTTGTTAAGCTATGTCTGTGCCTTAAGTTGGTTATTCTTTTCTTCTGGAAACTTTCTGTCCAGAGGGCACATTTCCCTTAGGCTCAGCCAACGTGCTTAGAAGGAGGGAGGGGAAATGCTGTTGACTTAAAGCCTTTCATGTTCTTCTTGCAGTGGAACCTCGTGTGTGACAATGATTGGAAGGGGCCCATGAGTACCTCCCTGTTCTTTGTCGGCGTGCTGCTCGGATCGTTCATATCAGGACAGCTCTCAGACAAGTAAAGTATATGCACCTGAACCACCGGTCTTTGATGTGTTTTGCAAGCAGTTCTTGCATGTGAAGTTTGGTACAATTGTTTTCTGTGACCACTAACATGTCCTAATTCTGTAATTCTGTGTCTGCCCAACCTGAATGTACACAAAGTGTATAGAGCACGTGTCCTGACTTAGACCAAATGTCACAGGGATCACTGGTCGGGTTATATTTACCAGTTTATTATTTCAGAGTAAACACTTCTGCAGCAAATCGTATTTTTGCCAGAAAGTGTAAGAAAGAGATGCTTCATTTCTTTCAAGCATTTTCCTTGTTCTGTTTTTTTTTTTTAATATACTGATCTGTGTAGTGAACTGTTTGCTGTGTAGAGGTGGAGCATCTATTATTGCTTTTACAGTGTAAATAATATTGCTGACAGTGAGTTGCTCATTCTGTCAGAAAGGAATGTGTGGTGTTTCAGCACACACCTAAAGGAGACTTGGCTGTGACCCTTGGAATATTTTTTTTCTCATGTCCTATGGATCTCTTCATGTATTTAGAGTAGATGTGCATGTGCTCCATTTCTTGCAGATGTCTTATATCTCCCTAAGTATACACATGAGTAATTTATGAAGATTTAATTCATGTTGTTCTTTTGTTTTTTATTTTCTTTTCATCTAATCCATGGAAGGTTTGGCAGGAAGAATGTGCTGTTCTCAACTCTGGCAATGCAGACCATCTTCAGCTTCGTTCAGATCTTCTCTACCAGCTGGGAGATGTTTTCCGTGTTCTTTTTGCTGGTTGGCATGGGGCAGATCTCAAACTATGTGGCAGCGTTTGTTCTCGGTATGGAAGTCCTGCTGGGCCCAGAATGCTGTCTGTTGTCCTGTCTGCTTCCCCGCCTAGGGCTGGTTTGTTTTGTCAAGAAATGCTGTTATGAGTTTGTCCTCACCACATGTGGATAATTCATGCTGTCTTTGGAAGTTTCCAGTTGATAGAAGTGCAGTCTGAATTAATTCAGTGAGTTACCAGAGGATTCAAGTGTTTCAACTAACAGAGAAATAGAGGATTCCAGAAGGTTTTATGGGTCAGGGCCTAATCTAGGCATCTCTGAAGTACCCTTTAAAGAAGCTAGTCTCTCCATAAGCTGCAGAAGATCCTATGGAGATCAAGCTGAAGCTAACTCCTAGTATATCTGATGGTTTTAAGTCCTCAGGTACAGTAGATCATAAAATACATAGAAATACAGAAGAGTTGGCTACTTCTAGCTACAGAAATACTATATGGTCTGATTAGTTACCTTTCATACTTATAATTACTGGGTTGATGCAAGTTCATCACGTGAGGCAGATCTGTGGTGCCTCCAATAATGCATGGCTGTGTTCTGTACTGCCCCATGTAGTGTGTCTCAAAGCCAGTTATTTGTGGTTGCTTTTATGTTAAAATACTAATCTTCGCTCTTGTTCTGAACAGGCACAGAAATTCTTGGCAAATCCATTCGTCTACTATTCTGCACGTTGGGCGTTTGCATCTTTTATGCCTTTGGCTACATGTTGCTGCCACTGTTTGCCTATTTCATCAGAGACTGGAGGCTGCTGCTGCTGGCGCTTACTTTACCTGGGCTGCTCTTCATCCCACTGTGGTGGTGAGTACAATGAAAACAGAAGGCTTTAGAAGTCTTGTCAACGCGTTTTTAAGAGCCAGATGTCAGCAAGCTTTAGCACTGAAACTCAGGAGTGGACAGAGGAGCGGCCACTGTATCCTTTGCTGTTCCCAGTTCTTTAGACCAAAGTCTGCAGCTTTGTGAGTAATCTCTGTCTGATTCATGTGTGAAGAACTTAGCCTTCATTTTCCTTGAGGGTTCTGGAAAATTAAGTGAATGTACATGGAAAAGAAAGGGGGAGGAGGGGAGAAGGGAAAAGGAAGAAAAACAAAAAAAGCCCTTCATCCTTCTGTACCAAATAACACCTGTTAGATAAGGCCTAAACTAAAGGCAGAATGAAAAAGCAGTTATTTTGGAAAGTGACATGGTGACGTAGATCTGGCAAGCTGTAGCTGTAAGCAGTCCTTGCACACCTGTGCAACCTCAGTATTTCCTGCCATAGTTAATGAAGTACTGCTTTCCAGCGATGTGACTTGTAGAGTTTAAGTCGTCCACACGGTGGTGGTGTTTCTTCACTTACATATGAAATGAATGTGATTGCATCTGGCTTCTCTTAGTGAAGCTGAAAGACCCACGCAGATTTCACTTTTTGTAGACACTGTGACATACAGCCAAGTCAAGTAATGATTTTATGTGCCGTAGTTACTAAGCAGGTGCCTCTTCATTTACGGAATGCTGCTGTGCATTCACATTTCTGAATTTCTTTAAGCCGTTTTTCCTGTACTCTGAAAGTTTCTGTTGCTCTTCTTTTCTTTTTTTTCCCCTGAATCATTCTTCAGCTCTTTTCTACTTTTAAAATACACAGCACGTTTTAGTCTGTTCTTCAGCCTACGAGTTGGCTCTTGTAAATCTGATTTCTGTTGTCTTAGCTTTAATTTCTGCAAGACGTGTCAAGTTTTAAGCTCTTTGTGCCTGGAACAACATGTGTTGGTGTCTGAAGTAGCACATTATTTGGAAATGCTGGCATATTATTCTGAATCTTTCTTACAGGATCATTCCAGAATCTCCACGATGGCTGATCTCTCGAGGAAGATTTCGAGAAGCAGAAGACATCATCCGAAAGGCTGCAAAAATTAATGAGGTTACAGTCCCAGATGTAATCTTTGACCCTAGCGAGGTAAGATTCACTTAGCAGTCAGGTTGTTTGCTGGGCCTGTTGGTATCTATGGAAAGCAATTAATTTCCAGTTTTGCCTGCACTGTACCATGTACTTTTGAAGTGGTTAAAAGTTCATCCTTTACCGGAAAAGCCTTAAAGCAAAATAGCCTTTCACTGTTCGTTAAGGTTTGAAAAGCCCTTGCTGTCCCAATCCCTTGCAACATTCGAATGAAAACATCAAAACATCTTTTTTTTTTTTTTAATATGGTTAACAGCTTTATTTTCTATTTAAACCACATTTTTGGATGTGAATGTAATTAATTTGGTTTGCCTATTGCTTCGTGATCTGAATACGTCCCAGATGAAGCCAGCAAATTAGCAGGAAGTCTCGTTTATCCCAGTGACTCTGAATACAGTGGATCTCCTTAACTCAGGCAGCTGACAAATGGCTTCTTTGGTTCTTCCAGGCATCTGAGATCTGGCCACATTGCACTGAAGAGTATACGCCTTAGCACCTAACAGGGAATTCATAATCTCCTGGTCTCTTAGTCTTTGTTTTTCCTTCAGCTTCTGATCTTTTTGGACAGAAGTATCTGATTCTGAGTGGCTGGATATAGATAATACTTATGTTCTGGACAGATTTTATGCTTGTCTGCTCTAATAGAAAACTAAGCTGGTGGCATTGGAAATAGTGCTCTTGAAGTACAACTTCTACTTCATGTAAAGGAGATCAAAAATATGAGTGTCCTTAAGCTGGAGTAGTTAGCAGTAAAATTGTTCATGTTTTCTTCAGGTATCTTTGAGCTGCTGGTATCCTTAAGCTGTAGAATGAGTTCCACATTCATTTATTCACAGTCAGACAGACAAACTGTTTGCATAATCCAGGGGAATGGGCACCTGTCTAGACACATCTGTAGAGTCTATCTGGGCACAATTGCTCAGCTGTATTCCCACTGACACTAGACATTGTCTAGTTGTTGATAAGAGAATTGATTGTTCCTATCCTTGTATATTCTCTTGATTTACAAAGCCTCTTGCGTCTTGCAGTCTTAGCCAAATGTTTAGTCATTAATCTCAAATGTGTTGCTATTGAGGCTGAAAAGGCTTCATTTGGCTTGCAGATAGCTGAGGTGCAGACAAGCCTGCTTATCTAGGCTAAATTCTAGATAGTAGGATAGACACCCTGGTCATGCTGAAGCAGAATGCCAGAAAAACCTAGACCTTCTGATGATGGCTTTTGAACTAGACTTCAATTGGAAGAACCTTTATTTTGTTTGTTTGTTATTGCTTTCTTTTTCCTTCCTTCTCGTGCTTTAAGCATGAAAACTCACCCTGTGCCAGAAAGAGGACAGAAAATGAGCTCTGGCTCCAACATTCAGTTAAGATAATCATCCCTGGAATGCCTCCATTTTCTGTTCTTAGAAAGAAATACTGATCTGTTCCCCATCACTGAGTGGGGCTGGATTTTGATGCAGCAGAACAGTTCATATTTCCCCAGGGAGGGGGACTGGATATTTCTGATTGCAGAGATTAATATCATAGCATATCAACTTCCAGAAACAGAGTTTACCGCTCAAAGAAAATGGAACTAGATTAAGAGGTGTTTGTTTAACTGGAACTCCTAATTGTCTTTTTTTCTTTTTTTTTCTTTTTTTTAATAAGCTGTGACAAAATAACTTGTGCAAAGCCTTTCTTCATCTGCGGTCCCTTTATCCTCTTCTTCTGTGTGCTTTCTGAAGAAGGCTGGCATCTTCCCCTGAGGTTTTAGAAAACATGTTTATGCTGCAGCAGGATTCTCAGAAACAGGCTGGCCCTGAGGCACTGTGCAGCTGGAATGGAGGAGCTCACGAGGCTGCTGTCCAAAGACTATTCCTCTGAAATGTTTAGACTCCAAGGTTTCAAAACCAGTTCGGATTTCGAAACCAGTTCAGATTCATGATCACAAACGGTCCATAGAGCATCAGTAGGGCCTGGTTGGCTGAATTGTCTGATGTGAGGGGAATGAACAGGTTTGGATGACAGGTTTCATTCCAGATGCCTTCCCTTTCCTTGTCATAGCTTCTTGCTCTGTCCTGTCCTGCTAAGGGACTGTATTATCTGGCAGGGCCCTTTTTTTCTCATCAGTGATATAAATTTTGCATTGTTCCTGGTTTTGTTTTGTGGTTTGTTTGGGTTCTCTTTTCTTTTTCTTTTCTATTTTTTGTGTTTCCTGTTTGTAGGTTTCTTGGCAGCAAAGAGTGGCAGAACTGGGAAGCACAGAGGAAAGATCATGTGATTTAAGAGAAAGGGCAGTGAGCTGAGAAGCTGCTGCAGCTTGTGCTGGGGGAGGCTTAAGTTCAGGCAGAGTAAAAGCTATCCAGTGTAAAGAACTGTTTGCCTTTAAGAGAAAATTAAGGTTCATGAAGGCAAATGCACTGAATTTTGGAGTGTGTGAGCAGTAGAATGCTGTTTTATCTTCCAGGTCTTTAGAACAAAGTATTGCTTGGAAATAATGTTCACTTGGCTGCAGAGTATAAACTTTGTGTATGGAGGAGAAAATACATGTTTTGAGTTGAGGAACAGGACTTGAGGGCTCCATATCAGTCTCCAACAGCTAACTTGCAAAATATCTCCTGCCTGAGATGGAGGAGAGGCTGATGAGGAACTAAGTTTAATCAACGGTTGCTTTCATCTCTTTACTGGTGTGCTGGAATGCATCCAACTTCTTCCATTGAACCTGTCTGATGTTCTAGGGGAAAAAGAGTTGTAAGTTGAACTAATACAAAGTAGAGGATGCTAGGCCAGGCAGAAAGAGTTCAGAAGTAGTTTAAAGTAGTGAATGCACTGTACTGGAGTGACAATCTGACTTTGTAATCATTTTCACACACCATAGTGTACACAGTGCACACAAAAGGCGTTCAGTCTTTAAATTTGTAAATTAAAGCTGTTGCTTTATAAGTCAAGCATAGAAGTTAAAATAAGCAGCTTCTTTTATGGAGTCTAAGGCAAAGAAAATGCTTACTAATTTCAGCTCAAATGTTAAGTGACTTCAAAGAAGGAGCAGCTATTTTTACAGATACTTGTATATAGGCACAAGAGACATGTTTGGTTAAAAGCAAAGCACCAGTTTCAGCTTTGCAGCATACCAAAATGGTTCCAGCTGTACTCAGAATACTGGTGTGTAAGTCAAGCCAGTGGGCTTGTTGTCACAACTGTTCCATTTGCAGGATGCTGATGTTCCATGCTTTTTGTTTGCTTGTTTTCAGCTGCAAGATTTGAGTTCCCAGGGGCAACAGACATACACCATTTTGGATCTAATGAGAACACGAAATATCCTCACTATCACAATTATGTCAGTGATTCTGTGGTAAGCAGGAGTGTGATTCGGGAATATGTCAGCACAGAAACAATAAAACAATAAGAAAGTTCCCTTTGAACACTGAAGTATTCTAAAGAGGTGTGGGCAAAACTAGTTAGCCTGAAAAACAATGGGCTGAAGTGACATCATGCTGTTTATTTTGGTTCTTTGTTACATATGCTGAAGGGCACATGGTAAATGAAGTTTTGCAATGAGAAAAAAGAGTCAATGTTTTGAAAGTTAGTTGCAGATCTTAAATACTCTTGCAAATCCTGCAGAAAAGTATTTGGTGGCTTTGGGCTAGTTTTAAACTGATTTTACCTTGTTGGTCAGTTGCTTAATCTGTTTTTATATCATTTCCCAAAGTATAAAGTATCCTATGCTGATTCACAGCAACATTATATAGATAGATAGATAGATACAGATCTATCTATATAGATATATCTATATACATATAGATAGATATAGATATAGATAGATAGATATAATGTGTGTGTGTGCATATATATATATATATATATATATATATATACACCCATGGTATATTCTGAGGTATGAATTGAAATTCTCTGCAGAAGGTGTAATTGCATCAAGGTTTGCCATTGTGATAAGCTAAGGCAAACTGCTACTAAAAGTGAGTTCCAACAAGAACAAGTAGGTTTGTTGGTTTGTTTAATACAAAAGGAACTCCTAAAAGCCCCATGTTATACAGCATTTTGGAAAATAACACATAAGAACTGCTATTGAAGAGAATAGCTTTTACTGGCACATCATACACACCAACAGGGGGATTACCTCTGTTATCTTAGGCAGTTTATTTTAAGCAATTGAACCATGAAGGTTGTTCTCATGTGAAGTGAGAAGAAAAGAGAACTAAATTTTGGTCAGTGATACACTTAATGCTGTGCAGTAATTTTGCTCTAGGTTCTGCTGTGACATAAATACAATGAGAAGGGAAATGCTGAGTGCTCCGTGCTGATCTTGGGCAAATCCTGAGCCAGTATCATTATTTACCACATGCTAGTGAGGCATAACCTTTTTCCAGTATCTCTGAAACAATGTAGATTTCATCACCAAAGACACTTCTGTGTTTCCCCTGGTCACATGTGCCAGTCTGGCAGTGACACAGTTAAGATGGCACTGTTCCCAGCCACTAAACTCCATCTTGTTAATCCAGGCACAGAGCCATGCAAATATAACTCGAATGGTATCCTGCCAACTTTGGGCATGGCAGAGGAAATCCTAGGTTGTTTGGATCTGCCAGGATGCCATACTCCTTTTGCCTGAGCTCATTCAGCAGGGAGGGTAACAGCCCAGGACATTCTAAAGAACAATCTGATGGACTGTGTTCCTTTTTCAGGATGATAATCTCCGTTGGTTATTTTGGACTTTCTCTCGACACACCCAACTTGCACGGGGATGTCTATGTGAACTGCTTCCTCTCAGCAGTGATTGAGGTTCCAGCCTACATTATCTCCTGGCTGCTGCTTCGAAATCTCCCCCGACGGTATTCAATGGCTGCTGCGTTATTCTTGGGAGGCTGTGTTCTTCTCTTCATTCAGCTGGTGCCTTCACGTATGGAATCATTAGTTGATCTCAAACACACATGATAGGTGAAGTCCAGTGCTGTGCATTGGGCAGATGTGGAGGAAAAGTATCCTGAAGGGACTAAATATAGACGTATGTTTCCTATTTTTGCCATCCTTCCTTGGTTCTCAGTGCTCCAGCACTGGGAGCTCACAAAATATTCCAGGTCAGATATGTTTGTAAAGATAGGTCCTTCCTTTTGTGGTCTGTTTGGATCAGTACCGTGGTCCAGTTTTGCCCTAACGTAGATCTTGCAAGGTTCTCAGGTAAACGTGCAGGTTACCAGGAACTTGCTTCTTAAAAGGCTGCCATTGGCTGCCTTTAGGGCTTGTTTGAAAGTTAATGTGGAAGTATTTTTTATAAGCAAAGATGCTTGCACTGCATTAAAAATTAATGGTTAAAATGTTTGGCAAATCTGAGGAGGGCAAATCAACATTTATTGGATATGAAAACAGCATGTGTTTTCAGGGTAATTAGATTGAGGGTTATAGACTCCATCTGATGAGGAGGTCAAATGTGATGGGAGAGTAATCTTGTTGCTTAGCACTTCTTTATTCTTTGATTTATAAGCAAATGAGAATGAGTTTATTTTACATAGGTAATGCATGAGTCATGTTTGGTTTGGTTTTTTTTTCAGAGTTAGTTGGAAACTGATATGATCTGTTTTGATTTTCCAGTCTAGCTGTCCTGGTTAAAGTCAGCTCAGCACTGTAGAAATGACTAGATAGTAGAAACCAGAGTAGCAAAGTAAAAATAACTTATTCAAATGCTTAACTTTGCTCAGTTTATTAAAAAGGGATATATGGCATTGTTTGCAATTGCAAAGATCTGCCCCCTGGAATCTTGAGAAAACTTTTGAAGTTGTTGCCCTGTAGTACTTATTTTTTAACCTTCTCAAGAGGAAAGTAGAAGTGTTGACTCCTAGTTTAAAAGAAAGAGGTTGCCCATGCACAGACACGTGTGCAGGAAAAGTGGACACCAGATAATGCAGTTAATTACACAGGAGTTATGCAATCACAGTAAATTGACTAGATACCATGAATTGCCAAGAGTTTTTTATTGAAGCTCTTGCATTTTAATTTCAGATATTCGTGCCCTGTCTATTCTCCTGGTGATGTTAGGGAAGTTTGGGATCACATCTGCCTTTTCAATGGTTTATGTTTACACGGCTGAGCTCTACCCAACGGTAGTGAGAAACATGGGAGTTGGAGCAAGTTCCATGGCCTCTAGGCTTGGCAGCATCCTCTCGCCTTACTTTGCTTATCTTGGTAAGTGAATGTGCTGGGGGGATGCTGGTGGCTGGAAAGCATTGGTTCAGTGCTGCCTGCAAGGCTTAGGACACAACTGTATCTCAATGCAAGACCCAGTCGCAGGGTTTAAAATAAACCAAAACAAAATCAGTTCTGCTCATTTGCTCTCGTTCGTGAACAGCCCCATCCCCACAGGCATTGTGGGTGTGCCCATGAAGACTGTCAGCTGCCCAGCACTGCAGTGCTTATGTCACACTGTGGGTCTAGAATCCATTGTGGCACTGTGGAGGTCAGGGAGCACCAGCTGCCTTGGGTGCTATACTGAGAGGGTTTTGTTTTAACTAACAGCTGTTCTAGAGTACAAATGTTGTCAGTGACTTGGAATTGATGCTAGCTTTTGTTGCATTCTGCTAGGTGCCTACGATAGATTCCTGCCTTACATCCTGATGGGGAGCCTGACTGTGCTATCGGGAATTCTGACTCTGTTCCTGCCAGAAAGCTATGGTATGCCTCTTCCTGATACAATTGAGCAAATGCTGCTGGTAAAGGGGTAAGTGTTGCCTTCTGATTTTTATACATCTTTTTTATCTATAAATTTAAGCGCATGCCTCTGCGTACGGCCCCATTTGTAGAGCCTTGCTAATTTGTTCTAAAGCATGCTGACAGTAGGAAAGGCTAGTTCTGTAGAAACTACTGCAGTCACAGCACAAGTAGGTGAGGGCCAATATACCTGTGTACTACAGAAGCTGCTGGTTAAAAGTTGGCTGTACTTTCAAAAGAATTCTAAGATTTATAACAGTGACTGAAGGGTTACAAAGAATTGTGTAAGGGACGTTGTTCTGGAGAGAGGTGGGATGCACTGCACTAAAAGGGGGCAAAGAATCTTTGCTGGTAGGATGGCTGACCTGATAAGGAGAGCTTTAAACTAGGGGAAGGGCAGCTAGCAGCAGCCTTGTGAGGAACTGGTGGGCATGGGTGACGTGGAGGAAAGAGGATGCAAAATCAGCAAAAGAAGGCTTTTAGGCAACACCAGCTCCAGCATTTGCACGTAAGCAAGGAAATATCTACAGCATGCTGTTTGGGGGAAAGGCAAGGGGTGGGGAAAGGTACTTTCTGTGATATCAGCCTGCTGGGGTGCCTCTCTGAGGGGCTTATATGTGGTGCATGCAGCATGGGGAGTAAACATGAGGAGTTAGATTTGTGTGTGCAGTTGCAGATCTTGTTGGGATCATGGAGACGTGAGACAGCTCCCATGACTGGAGTGTTGCAGTGAAGGGATACTGGCAGGAGAGAGATAGGAAGGACAGACTTGCTTTATATGTTTGCTTTTAAAGGTATAGTGACATTTTATGGATTTAATAACCAACTCACTGACAAAAGTATTTTCAGCCCACAATGGCGAGGTAACAATTCTGGTTGAAAGGGCTTTATTTTTTAGTCTGTATGTTTTAAATGATTCTGCAGTATCAAACTGTCACAAAGTAATTTACCTTGCTAAGTTCTTAAAGTGGTGCAAGCACTGCTGAATTCTTCCAGTTTATTTCAGCTGACCTAAAAAAGCATTGAGAGTTGGACCTTCTGCCATGGCTCTGAGTGAAGGCAGTTACTGTTAAAAAAGGACCTGTTCAACTGAAGTCAACAGAATATTAAACTTAGATTCTGTAATGTCTAATAGGGTTCAGAATATCAGTCTTTTTTCTCTGCTTGCTCTTTTATTCTGTTTTCCTTTTTTCTTTTTTTCCAGACTAGAATACAGGCCTGCATCTACTGCCAAAAGGAATTCAAAGGATGAAGAAGAAAATCCAGAGATTTTTAAGAGCACATCTTTTTAATGAAATGCCTACTTCCTGATAGACTGAAAGTTAAATGGATTTGTTCCTAATGCTCATTCTAGAAAGGGCTAGTGGCAACACTTCTTCCTGCAATTTTAACCTTATTTATTAATTTAAACACTGTGTTTCATATATTCTCTTTTTATATGACCACAAATACTGTGTAGCCTTCACTGATTTTTCAGCCAGTTGTTTCAATGCATTAATACCAAGGAACAGTATCTGATCAGTCCTTTGGAAGCAAGTGTATAGGTGAGCTGAACAATACTTGAAAGTGAGTTCAAGGGCTGGAGGAGCACCTGGACTCCACAGTGAGTCTTCTTCAGAGCTAATGCCCATCAAGAATTTAGAAACACTAGAAAAAGCTGCTAATTACTTTTGATTTCTTGACTTCTGTCTTTGGACAGAAAACTTATTTATTAGAGTGAAGGTTATGCAAACACACCACTGTGATCTTATGTGAATTTGCACATTCTGAGTTTGCTAGCAGGTTCAGAAAGATGCAAAGAAAGATTTTTTGAGAAGGAATTCTAACTTGGTGTGTTGTGTGTAGGCTGAAAGGGTGGTCTTGCACAGAACACAACACAGCATTGAGGTTTTGCTGACAGAGTCCTCTCGAATCCAATGCTGGATTTCAGCTACGACTTTCTGATGACATTGTTTACATCTGACACTGGAACACGGCCCACTTTGAGGCTGTATTTATTTAAAATGATGCAGAAAGTTTTATCTGTGTGTGGAGAGAGTGAGTGCTGAAAACTTTGACTGCTGAAAATTTTCTTTCTGAATTGTTTGGGTTTTTAAACCATAGTCTGTGCGGTGTGGATGGCAAAAGCACTTCTGCTGTCTTAGTCTCTCACCTTTCTGCACACACACACACACACACACACACACACACACACACACACACACACACATGCACACACTGTCAGTAATCCATGCCACTGCCTTGACCTTGTGGTGAGAATTCCTGAGATCAACATTTACAATGCACTTATGACCACTGGTTTTTGATTCTCGGCTGCCAACTGTACGACTGCTGCGAGGTCTGTTATTTCACTTCACTCCTGTTAATTGTTAATATGAATTGTGTTAAGATTATTTTTTTAAAAATCATGTTGAAAATCTGCTGAGACTGTTCCTTGGATCACAGCAGCCCCCTTGGCATCGCCTGTGTCTATTTAAATACGTGCATACACATGATCTCGTTTGTGCCATTCTGATCTTGCACTGTGTTACAGATGTGCATGGTGAAAGCATTCATCCTGTGGCACTTGTTTGTGTGTTGTCCTGTCTTGTAGGGGCTGAATGAGCAGAACCTAAATTGCTCTGCTCAAGGCTGGCTGCTGGCTCTGGGGCATTGTGCAGCTCTGTGCTAACATCAGCTGCTCGGAGGCTTTTGTTAACCAAAGCCCTGTACCCTGTCCTTGCCAACCATGCTTTCTTAAGCTGTAGGTTTTCACTGCTTTCTCTGCATCTTCTCACCTACGTGCTCAGTGCTCTGACTGGCTGGTGGTAGCAGGCCCAGAGTGATACGGGGAAACTCACTATTGTCATTGGCAGCTCATCTGGGAAGAGAAATCCCAAAGCTTTGGCAGGTTTTACGTCACTTCTGGCTGATAGAAGGCCATTGGCTGGTGGGTTTAAAATGCAGTGTGTGCTTTGAAAGTGGAGCATAAGTTGAAATCTGAATTTTGCAAGCTTCACTGCACATCGTGTAATAGTCTTGATGTGTGCAAGTAAACTTCAGGAAAGTGCATGAAAGCAGGCAGGCTGCGTGGTGATGGGAACATCTCCTCACCCCAAATCCATGATTCTATTTGCTATATTCCCCACCTTTTCCAGAAAACTCATTGCAATTGTAAGAATATGCTCTGAAAGTCAGCACAAATAATTTTCTTTGTATGCCGTGTCTCTATTAGGCTTATAGGAACTGGAACATTGAGAAGCAGCTTTTTTGTGCTGCAGGAGAAGCCTCGCCACAGGAATTTGAGGCAAAACATTCAGCTGCAACTTCCTTGTCATGAATCTGCCAATGTAAACAGCCCTGTCCCATGAATCTTTTCCTGTAAACTCTTTCAGAAAATAGCCTGAAATGTAAGATACGTGCCTGCCTGAAATGTTACCTGTCGTGGAAAGTCCTGCTGAAGCCCATCCAATGTCTCATTTAGCTGTTATCTTTAATCTGCTGTTTCACACAGGTTATGCACTTTCATGTGCCTCGACAGCAGGCTTTTGTTCTTGATGATGTTTATTAAGTGCTTGTTTTGGATTTTTAATATGATTAAATTGGGGGAATTTCCTGGTCATGACTAATCCTACTACAGTGACAACCTCTGTGTCACAAGTTATATTTTCTTCCTTGCTAATCTCCTTAAAATCTAAAAGTGAGTCAGAAGCAATCTATTTAATATAGCATCCTGTGTTCCTTTGTTTACTTTCCTCTCCTACCCTAATCCTTGAGCTTATCTCTGCAACAGGGAACTTCTTTTGATGTGAAGTCAGAATCCAGCTGCTAAGTATTTCCAAAAAAACCCCCAGGGGATGTTTTAATAGCATCACCAGGCAGCGGTTTTGATTTGGGCAAGCAGGACAGGAGGGTGGAGGGACTGACCCAGCTGCAAGGGTGATGTCAGTGCTGGCAGCAGGTCAGGTCTGCACCAAACGGGGTGTGGGTGCCTTCTATATCAAATGGTGGAGTTTAGTGCTAGGGTCAGGTCGCACCTGGTTAATGAATGTGCTGCTCAGTAGTGCAGAATCTGTTCTGCTGCTCCTTGTGGAAGGCCTTGTTTTGCTGAGAGCTGTCCTGTTATCCTCAAAAAAGTGAGGAGTGATGCTTTGTAAGGGGTTGGGCAGAATTTGCCTATGAAAGAGGTGAAACCAGGAGTGTGGTCACTGCACAGGAGGGTAATACAGAGTTTGGCTTTCAGGTGAACTGTAACCTGTGAAATGCAGAAGGGCTGTGATGCCCTTATCATGCATTGCAAGCATTATGATCTCTGGTCAGGGAACATTGCTGCACGCTGCAGGATTTCTAGTGAGGAAAACAGCATTAAGGCCTTGGCTTGGATACTGGGTTCCCTTCATTCCCAGCTCTTTGGTTCCTTTCATCTCCCTGGGAGAGATGCACAGCCCATGACTTTGGTTTCTTTGCTTGCAAGTGGGAATATTGTTAGCTCAAAAAGCATCACAGTTTCTTCAGACTGATGTTCACACTCAGCAGTGTGTGATTCCCTGATACCACTCTCCTGGCTCTGGATATTGTGCTCTCAAGAACATCTTTTAATGTTTTGTCTTTTGGAAGCAGGCAGCTTGGGATGGCTGCTGACAGCCGGGCTGAGGAGAAGCATCACTTCAGCATTAATTTTCTCTATGCACTTAAGTATGTTGTAAAAGTGTTGTTCTTCCAGGGGACTTTCTTTTTGAGAGATGATGATACTGTATTGCTGATCTCGTGGAACTTGAGATGAACGTGAGTTATCCCCACCCCTGTTTACAGCTGCTTGTGTTTCATGGCCTCACCCACAGGGGTTCATTTTTCTCCATTTATCTCCCTGGGGACCATGAGCACAACAAGCACCTGAGGAAGTGGTTGGGACCGTCTCTGTGATTACATTTGTATTTCAGTATTTGTAGAATAGGACCTTAACTTGTAAAGCCTTTGCTTAAAACACAGAATCAGCTTAGGCAGCATAACGTGATGCTCATACGTGCCTTTGGGGTGCTTCGACCTGCTGGTAATGGCCACAGCCTTGTATATAGAAACGTATGGAGATTTCTTCTGAGAATGTAAATACTCTTAACTAAATTGATTCTTACCCCTGTTGTTGTTTTGTTGTTTTTTGTTTTTTGTTTTTTTTTTTTTTTTTTATAGAAAAATGCTTATTGTATGTAAGATTCTGAATAAAATCATATCTGGAATTCTCATTCAAATGAAGTATTCTCATAGTTTGTTGCATCATCTTTTAATGTGTTAAACAAATATCAGAGGTGCTTCTTTTTTACACCTGTAGACTTTATGATGGTTAATTTCTTTTTGTTGATGTGTTCTAAGTCAGAGGGGGGGGTTTCCTTATAGTTTGAGTGTCTGTCACTGCTGTCTGTAGCTCCACAAATGGTCTTCAAAAGCCTGAGCCACTCTTCCTCTCCTACTTTATTTCCTCCCAGCCACAAGTTCAGTGTGACAGTGGGCAAGCAGTGAGGTGAGATAATGGGGTACCTGGAACTGCTGGGCTGCTGATGGACTGCTGCTTGTAATCCTCCAGTGAGGGCTGGAGACAAAGCTGGGTGTAGAACTGCTATTTAGATAACAACTTATTTCACATGGTCCCTGTAGAACGTGGATTGATTCTGGAGCCCTATGAAACCTTAGAGGAGAACTAGGTTGTATCTTGAGCAAGTGCCAGCCTTCTTCTTTTAATTGAATAGCTTCCAGCTGGTTAAATCCTTGCTCAATGGGGCACCTTTCTGTTGGATGTTTGTGGAGTTTCATCATTTAACAGCCCAGTGCTGTTTGTGTATTGGATCGGTTTGAGTTAAGGGTTGCCGTGTGCATCCAAACAGCAGCTGTTCTGCCCGCCCCCGTGTGCACATCCCTGGGCTGTGCCTGCTTGCAGCGGTTGTGCAGTCACTGTTCATCTTTAGCTGCTGCAGCACTGGGCCCTCCCCCGTGCGTTCTGCTCCATCTCAAACAAAAGCTATAAAAGCAAACGAGAAAAAAACAATTATTTAAGAACGTGAAATCCCTGCTGCCTCTGTCAGCCTCTGCTCTGGGCTGCTGCCTCATTTCTTAGACTTATGTTCGTAGAAATAAATATTTCCGAGGGGGGGAAAGCAAACAGCTTTCTTCTGAGCCACTGGGGGTTATAGAGATGAGTGGCTACAGCTGTACGGGGAGTTTCTCTGCCCCGCTCCCACCTCTAATGCGAGGTCTTTAACCTTTAACTCTGCTTCTCCTTTCCTCCATCACTTCCATCTGCTGTGAGCAGCGCCTTCGGGCTTCCCCGTTCCTCGTGGGTCGGGGGCCGAACTCTCCCCGCAGCTCCGTGCGGGTGGGGCCGGGGCGCTCCTCCTCCGCAGCGGAGAGGGAAAGGGAAAGCGAAAGGGAAAGAGCGGGCGATGTCCCCGCAGTGGGGCCGGGGCAGGCGGCACACGCAGCGGGGGGCAGGTAAGCGGGGAATGGGGATGGGGGAGCGGGGTGGGGGCTGCCCCGACCGGGGATGCGTGGAATGGTCGGACGGAGCCCCGGTACCGGGACGGACGCGGGTGCCCCGAGCGGTCGCTCCCGCAGCGGTGCGGTTTGCGGTCCGACCGGGCTCTGCTGCCGCGCCGTCCACCGTGGGCAGGTGCGGGTTAAAGGGGAAATAACGGCTGCTTTGGGATCGGGTCTAACCCACCTTCACTCGGGTACCCTGCAGAACTGCACCGAAGGACTCCTTTCCCCCCTTTTTTCCCTTTCTGCCCTTCTAATTCAGTTATCTGAGCTGGTTTTTGCATCGCGGCACCTTGCCTTTGCCTTGTATTGCTCTTATAGCTGCTTTTTGATCCATCCAAGAGAAGCAGGGAGGCACCGCTGCCTCACAGACAGACAGTTGTGCTGGTGGAATCAGCATTTGGGAAGGCAGAACAGATCCTGTGAAGTTCCTGAATATAAACTGATTTATGCAGATTGTAATTAACCAAAACTTTATTTTCCGTTTGTTCTACATCGCATCAAGTGTGAATTGCAGCTGTGATAAACGCTGCTGGTGGTGGCAGAGCAGGAGGGATAGGGGATGGTCAGGAGCCTGAAAAAGAGGAGAAATAGATTCGGTTAGAAGAGAGCAGTGAAGCTGTGTGAGCAGGGAGGGCTGTGCTAAGGAGATGGGGCAAGCTGAGGCCAGATCAGGAGCTCAGCACAAACGTTTTAAGATTGTGGTGGCCTTGAGTTTCTTCTCTTTTTCTGTGGTCTTCTCCTTAAAACCAGAGGTGGGCTGAAATCTCAGGGCCCAACGCATCTCTGGGTGTCAGGGAGGCAAAGCTGCCAATGGGGGGACTAAGAGGAATCCATGGCATCAGGCTTTAACAGAGGCAGGAGGTGCCAGACCTGAAAGCCCCACACTGCACCTTTACCCTGGGCAGCTGAAATCCAGCTGTACCTCTGCCAGCTCTTTTTGGGGAATAAAAGCCCCATTCAGCAAACAGCCATCGCACAGGACCCAGGCAATGGGACAGAGAGCTCAGAGCCATCAGGGCTACCAGAGATGCCCTTCAGATGCACAGAATGCTCAGAGTAGAGCTTGCAGAGATCTGTTTGGACAAAGAGCTTGTTGACCCCATCTGAAAATGGGGTGAAAATGAGGTTGGGCACAAATAAGGCAGTGGGATTTTCCCGACTCTTTGCCCTCAGCTCAAGAAACAAGGCTGTGAAGCAAGCTCTGGAGTTGCACTATGAGTGTTCTGGTGACGAATGCCTTAGAGGAGCTGATAGAATGATCCATTCTGTCTTCAGAGCACTTGGGGAATGCTGGCTGTGGGGCTGAGAGGCAAAACAGCAGTGTGTGCTGCTCACCTCATGCAGGAAAGACAATAAGGTGCAATAGAGATGTTTTTATGGTGTCTTGCAGTTGCATGGCGTTGGTGTCCAGAGCTGAGCTGGTGGCCTTGGTGTGAGGGTTTGCAGCTGAGCTCTCATGGCCCTGCACCAAAGTGCTGCTCCTTGACCCCACTGAATCTCTGGAGATAAGGCTGCAAATTCATCACTGGGAAAACTGCACCAGCTTTCTCAAAACTGAAAGCTGGATGAATTTGGCTCAGCTTGTCGAGTTCTGGAAATCATGTGGTGCCAAGAGCAGGTGGCAGCCAAACCACGGATATGTGACCTCTGAGCTCCAGCTCTCCCCGAGAACTGCCCTGTTCTTGGATTGAGCCTTCATGGCTCTCCTGTGATTTTCTGTGTCGTCAGAGCTCACGGAGTACCTGGCAGGGCTGGGGATGCAGCGCTGCGGCTCCCTCCTCTCTGAGCTGAGTCAGAAGCAGCTCCAGCTGCCAGAGCCCTTGGCTCATCTCCTGCTTTGTGCTTTGCAAAGCCACAGAGCGCTCTGCTCTTGTGATTAATGCGCTGCTACGGAGCAACTGCCCCAGCATTTGTGATAACACAAACCTGAAACAACACTCTCCGTTTCCGCTTGTAGCATCAAACGGGAAATTATGTAATTTTATATGTATGGCTTCCTTTACTAAGAAAAGCTTTCAAAGCAGCAATGTTCATTTGCCCAGCAGCACATCGGGCACGTCCGGGTCGCGGTGCTGCAGCAGCATCAACTCCCGGTGCCCGGAGCATCGCCCGGCTCCCCCGCCCTGCGCACGGGGCCGGAGAGACGGGCTGCAAAATCGGCTCAGCCTTCACTGACATCAAAGGGAGCTCGAAGCAGCCCGCTGGGATGGAGGCGGGGGCTGATGAGAGCGGCGGAGCTGCGCCTTTCTCCGGGGACTGCAGAGGGCGGTGGTACCCAGCGGCGGCGGCGGCCCCAGGAACGGAGCGGTGCCGCAACGGACCGGGTTCGTCCGCGCTGCGATGCTCGGGAGCTGCGTGCTGCTGCTGCTCTCCTTCCTTCCCCGAGTGGAAAGGGGCCTCCCCGCAAGCGATGCAGTTTCAGGGCACGCACAGAGCTCGTCTCACCCTACTCCGAAGCTCTTTGCAGGTGGAAACTGGCCGCGCAGGGGGCAGGAGAGCTGCAGCTACGTTGTTCTCGGGCAGTGTGTGTTCTCTGTGCTGTAGAGGCTGCTGGCTGAGACTCACAGCGGCAGGCTGGAGGATGCTCTGACAGCTGAAGGCATTCTCAGTGCACAGCCAGGGACGAGATTTGCTTTGACTTTGCTTTGTTTCCCTGCTGGGCTCCTTTCCCTTCTCACTTCCTTTTCTCTCGCACACTGGAAGTGCAGTTGGTGGCTGTCAGTGCTTCTCAACAGAGCGTTCCTCTGCTGCCAGTCAATCCCAGCAGCTGCTGCACACAGTGGCTGTGCTGTTTGGCAGGTATGGGGCAGAGAATTGCTGCCAGCCTTGTGCCCATGGTGCCTGCCTTCCCCTGGGGCCCAAACCTCCCCCTGCCTGCCCTGTGCAGGAAGCCTGGCACAGCTCCCTTCTGTTCCTACCCATTCCTTGCTCTCAAAGCCAAACTCAGCCCCAACAGCAGCTTCAGGCTGTGTCACATCTCCTGGTGTTCCTGCACAGAAACCACTGTGTTTATGGGGCTCAAGGATGAGTTCAGCTTTACAGTGAAATGCACAGAGCTTCTGCATGGGCTGCAGCACAGCTGGAGAGAAACACAAAAAACGTGAGAACCACAGCTGTTCCACCTATTGCTGTGCCAGTGAGCTCTATGTGGCTTTGTTTCCTTCGTGCTGCTTCAGCATCACCACAGCCTCAGCCTCCTGTTTGTCACACACCGGGGGCTCATACCGTCCCACCCTTCCTGTCTCATCTGGAGCTGCTGTGGGGAAGGAGCTGCCATGGCAGCCGTGCTTATCACTCCCCAGCAGCTGGGGATGCCTGCCAAGCATAGCCCCATCCTGCCAAACTCGGCTGCAAGAGCTGAAAAAAATCAACTCTATATGTATATTATTATTTTTTTAAGATGACCGAGTCATATCAATATAGCCACTACGAGGCAGGATGGAGAAATTACTGCGTGCCAAATGCCAGAGCAATGCCAAAGGGCTTTAGGATGTAGTTGTGCACAGTGTGATTCACACTCTGACATGGATCACGCTTCGCTTGCCCCACATGGGAAAGATGTACATCTGTTCTCCTTAATGCCCTCAGTGCTGGCTCTGCCATGGAAGCCTGCAGGGAGTGCTGGGCTCCATCCCACCTGGTGCCATCGATGTGCCATTAAAGCACCAAAGAGGTGTTTGGGTCCTTCTCTTCAATCTTACAGAGCCTTTGTGATTGTTTCAGCAAATTATGTCTACAATTGCTCCTTGAAAGCCCAGACAAGGATCCTTGGAGGTGGAGCACACCAGGCACTGATGCAGAACCACCCCTCAGCCACTGTGTTGGCACTGCAGGAGGAGAGGGTGGTTCTGCAGGTGAGACAATTAACGGGAACCCAACTTAACGAGGCTGTGTGCTGCTTACACAACAAAAATGGTGTTCAGCTGGTGTGCAAGTAATTAACTGGTGACTTAACCTGAACTCTCCTGCTCGCTATAAATACCTTGCTTTCCATCAGCAAGTGAGCATGAGGAGTGTCTGCAGAACCAGTTCTGCCACCCCTTTACAGGAAAAGGTTCTTCTGTGCAGTTCTCATAAATCGCTGCTATCTGAATGAGAATTCCTATCCCATCTGGATGCCAACTGCGTCGGGCTGCCAGCTTCAGCCTCTGCCCAACACACATCAGTGTGTGCAGATGGGGAGGGAGGTCCCAGATGGCAGCAACTCAGAGTCTGTACTTTCCCTTCTGTTACCCATATATGTTAGAAATGAGAGTTGTATCCTGGTCACCTAAATCACCTGCTCACAGCATCAGTGAAATACAGAAACCTTCACATCCCACAAACAAATGAGCTGTTCCTTCCTGAAGGAAGGGGGCCCTGAGCTTTCGGTACAGACATGGGATACGTGGGTCCCACTTCTGCCCAACTTTGGGTTTCTTGCCAAGTTGGCAGCATCCCCAGAGAATCCTGATCAATGATCCCTTCAGGGTCTGCTGACTCTGGGAAGTCCCTGGTTAGGGATATATATATATTTCTTCTCCTGACACCCAGCACAATGGTAGCTGGGTTTGCCTGGAATTGGCCTGCAGCAGCTATGTGCAGGACAGCCATGCAGTCCCACTTGTGAGCACGCACATGAGAAGTCTGAAAAGTGAATTCAGTTCTCATTTGGAGAAAGCTGACATTTATCATCCTCACACAGCTCCTGTCTGCATGCCTGGAAATTCTGGGTATGGAGTTAATGATTTCTAGAGGGCAATAAAGCCAACGGCTCCCAGACGGCCGCGCTGGGGGAGTTGGTGCTGTGCCCATTGATGCTGCCAGCAGTGAGGTTGCACGGGGACTGCTGCACTGTGCAGTGTCTGTGTGATGGGGACACGGCCTTTGGAGCAGCCCTGCTGCAGGTTCAGTGCCCAGCCCTGCCAGGCATGCAGCACAGTAATAACTGTGCTCCTTGTGCTCTTAGTGCG